AAAAACTGATCGTTTCTAGTACAAAGAAACCATCACTGATTTTGACATTGACGGCTTTTGGATATGGACTTATTGCGATTCACTTCAATAGTTACTTGTTTCCAACACATCCCAAAGCCGATTTGTTGGACCATGAGTTGGGATGATTATGGATGATTCCACCAACACACATCAGCATCATTTATGGACCCAGATATATTCAGATCACCTCTGAGCTGTGCTTCATCACCCTTGGCAGCTAGCTGCAGTTACACCTTGTTGGACAAACTTCTATGAAGCAAACGTATTGCCGTGTTGTTGTATTCCAGCTTTCAGTTGGCAAAACTTTTGGAGACTAGTTGGACTTGCACAAAGAACTTCAACTGCTTGAAACAAAAACCAATAAAACCAAACAAACCAACAACTTTTGACTCCTCTGCTTGAGCTCCAGGGGCAGCCCTTTGGTAATCTGTATACCACATCCATTTGTCTCAGCCTGCGAAGCAAACACGGGCAAACAGCCCTCCACAAGGCCCTTGTGGAGAGCAGTCTGCTCGTGCAGTTTTGAAGGTTGTTGCGCAGCCGGTGAGCGTCTTCCTGGAGCACAATGGTGCTCAAGAAAAACACTCCTTGGCTGCGCAACAACATACAATCAAATGCTAAAACCGCATCTGCATTGACGGCACATTGATGTGTTGAGGCTTCAGTCTTCACTGATGGTTTGATGGGACACGGAGTGTATCGCCCTTCATCATCCTTCACAATCCAAGTTCCTGACTCCTCGTCTCCTCTGATCAGTTTGTCCTGCCAATATTCAAGCAAGGTGATGTCCCATAGCTGGCTAAGTTGGTTTACAACAAGGCTATTGATCTTGATGGTGGATATATCTATAGTCTATAGGTGGTTGGGGTTCTGGACCAACTCAGAAATGAGGGGGCACCCCCCGTGTGTTGATGTGAGGACTTTCCATTGTCTTCACATCAGCTCCCGGAAAAAAACTGATCGTTAGTACAAGGAAACCGTATTGCCGTGTTGTTGTATTCCAGCTTTCAGTGGGCAAAACTTTTGGAGACTAGTTGGACTTGCACAAAGAACTTCAACTGCTTGAAACAAAACCAATGAAACCAAAAGCTGTTCACTCCTCTCGTTGAGCTCCAGGGGCAGGTCTTTTGTAACAAGCATCCTGATTTAGCCTCTCTCTACGCCTTTGTTTAACCTTCGAAGCAGGCGAATTCTGCTCTCCACGGACATAGTGGAGAGCAGTCTGCGCGTGCTTCGCAGGTTAAAAGGTTGTTGCGCAGCCGGTGAGTTTCAATGCAATAGTAATGAACAAAATCACTCCCCGGCTGCGCCACAACATTCCATCAAATACGCACAGCACACCTGATTGACTGAATTGATGTGTTGACGCTCCTCTCAGTCTTCGTTGCAGGGACACGGAGTGTATTGCCCTTCATCATCCTTCACAATCCAAGGTCCTGACTCCTTGCTGTCTCCTCTGATCAGCTTGTCCTGCCAATATTCAAGCAAGGTGATGTCCCATAGCTGGCTAAGTTGGTTTACAAAAAGGCTAATTGGTGTATGGTGGAAATATACATAATTTTTCTTTGCTTTTCTATGTTTCTTTACATATATATAATTATATATATATAGTAGTAGTAGTAGTCTATAGATGTTGATAGTATTCTAAAGTTAGTATGGGTTATGGTCCAACTCATGAACGTTTCTAGTACGAAAACCATCATCGTTCTTCACATTGACGGATCTTGGATACGCACATCATGCAGTTCAACAACTGGACCATGATTTTGGGATGATTTCACCCACATCAACATCATTGATTCGGGGGTTTTTCTCAGGGTCCCTATAAATGATCCAGATCAGCCCTGAGCTGTGATTCATCACCGGCAGTAAAACTGTTGGAACACTTCTGCAAAGCTGTTAAGTGTTGAGTGTTGTTGTATTCCAGCTTTGCGTGGGGAAACCATTTGGAGACCAGTGGCACTTTCACACAAAGTTCAACTGCTTAAAGCCCTTGGAAGCAAGCTGCTCTTATACCTTGTTGGACAAACTTCTATGAAGCAAACGTATTGCCGTGTTGTTGTATTCCAGCTTTCAGTGGGCAAAACTTTTGGAGACTAGTTGGACTTGCACAAAGAACTTCAACTGCTTGAAACAAAACCAATGAAACCAAAAGCTGTTCACTCCTATCGTTGAGCTCCAGGGGCAGCCCTTTCGTAACAAGCATCCCGATTAAGCCTCTCTCTACACCTTTGTTTAACCTTCGAAGCAGGCGAATCCTGCTCTCCACGGACATAGTCGAGAGCAGTCTGCGCGTGCTTCGCAGGTTAAAAGGTTGTTGCGCAGCCGGTGAGTTTCAATGCAATAGTAATGAACAAAATCACTCCCCGGCTGTGCCACAACATTCCATCAAATACGCACAGCACACCTGATTGACTGAATTGATGTGTTGACGCTCCTCTCAGTCTTCGTTGCAGGGACACGGAGTGTATTGCCCTTCATCATCCTTCACAATCCAAGGTCCTGACTCCTTGCTGTCTCCTCTGATCAGCTTGTCCTGCCAATATTCAAGCAAGGTGATGTCCCATAGTTTTCTGAGTTTGTTTACAACAAGGCTAATTGGTGTTTATGGTATTTTATGCTGGACATATACATATATTAGTTTATATAAAGTCTATACTGTACTTCGTTGGGGCATGTTGGGGCTATGGACCAACTCATGATCGTTTCCAGTAAGAACACAATTATTGTTTTCAACACGGATTTAGGATGTGCACATCTTGGCAGATTTGCTGGACCACCTGGGAGTTGCACAAAAAACACTGGATTTTCCGATGAGACAACTTGCACCATTGCCCGTTTGGTCATGAAGAAAACACAGTTGATCAGCCTTATAGATCCATATACCATCTGGTTATTTAACAGTTCGCCATGGACAATCACCATGTTTTAAGTTCGCTAAACCATCTATAAAATTCTATAAATCTATGGTCCATCAACAAACCATGGCGAACTGTTCGTCATAACCAGAGGGTAAGTTGACGCCATTAACTTGACCCAGCCACCATGGATCGACATATTTCTGGATAGCCATGAGATAATAATGGGATTTAGGTAGCACATGATGATTCTCGATGGGAATATCATGAGGATATATATATAATTATAGAGAGAGAGAACCAGAAGTATGATAACTTGATATACTGTAGCTGCGTCAAGGCCATTTTGGAATACTTACCCTCTGGTTATTTAACGTAGCCATGGAACATCCATCATTTTCAATAGGTAAATATTATCATAAATCATCTATAAACGGGCCATTTTCCATATATTTATATATATGTTAAATAACCAAAGGGTATATTATTATATGCCTGCGCATCATTTACGACGTGACGGCGCCCCGTGATTTCGATCATCATGGCAATGTCAAGATAGTAAGATATCAATGGATATTATGATATCATCATGGTAATGTCAACACCGGATTAATAAACCATAGTTGATGAATTAGGCCGGGTACCCTCCAAATAGTCATAATTAATGGTACTTACTCGCTACAACCCCAATGAAAAAGCCTAGGGCTTTATTAATCCAGGGTTGACATGATTGATTCACTGATATTCACCATCATTAACCATTATTAACCATCATTAATCACCATTAATCACCATTAAACCACCATTAAACCACCAGTTGATCCCACTATACCACTACAGTAATCTCCCTTTCCCAGTTTCACCACGGACTTTTGGCGTCCTTCAAGGTGCGAGACGACACGACGGAAAGAAATCGCCGAATGAACTTGGTGGCATGCGAGACCCATGGTTTTCAAGCGATCATGAAACGTTCACATTTGTAAATGGGATATAATTACCTAGTTGCAAATGGGATGGTTGATGTTTACTTCAGTTGTATCAATGTATATAATATTTATATCATAGATTACAAAATAATACAGCAAGTGGATCATACACAAGCCACAGACTAAATGAGATGTTCATCCGAGAATCAGTGAGACCATGAAGGGATACCCTACAAGGGTTGGTGAAAAAACGCGAGCTGTTTATACTGGTTTTAAGTAGGCTGGGGTTTCTGGTTAGATGGGTGAATATAAATCAACTTTAATATTGTAATCAGCTTTAAGACCTATAACTGGGGTGCAGCATCTTGCAATGAGATCTCTGAGATCTCATTGGTGGTTTCAACCCGCCATTCACTGAAGATTCAAACAAATCCGACTACGTGGATGGTGTATTTCTGAAAAGGACACATCATGACAGGCAGAGATTCACTCAGTTTTTTACAAAACCAGAGATGTTCTCATTCTCATATTGCAGAATGGTCTTCAATATATTCAAAAATGGTGCTCTTATATTGTGCATAGCTTCAATATGGTTCATATATTGAATATATTACCCAGACCTTAAGATACCTTATCCAATGACAATCTTACGCTCATCGATGAGTGGAGGTATCTCACCAGCCACATTCGCGTTGAACATGGGTGAGTCATTAGTTGGCAGCAGATGAGCAGCGTTGAAAACCTGAAATGTCATCCTTTTTGTACTAATTGGTTGAGAACGGGATTCTCAATTCATGCATGATGAACAAAGCAACCATTTAGTATTACCGTATTACCCCTTATAAAAACTAATGACTAATCAAGTGAACATACTTACAGACATATGGGGTAATAATCTATGGACAATAAATATATTATATACAGTAGTAGAAATCCATTTTTTTCCATTGGACATTTACAAATGTTGAAAGATTCCATACGTCTGGCAGAACATTTCAATAGAGATGTCATACTTCTCCAGCTTTACATTTACCAGACTATGTTCAAGTAAATGTGATGACACATATCTACAATTAACACTACGCTACGTGTTTCTCATGTATATTATCACATACGTGTTATTTTTGCCCGAGAATTTTCCCGGGAAACACATCGAAATACCTGGCAGCTGTCGTGGCGCCACGCTATGAGATGTCTATCTCTTCATCATCGCTGCCATGGACTTCTGCGCATTGGCGCAGGCGGTGATGACGGCATTGAAGGAGATCACGTTGGCCTAGAGTTGGAAAGTTGGAAGATGCAAGATATGAATGGATATACAATGGATATCTGAGTGGTTAATGATGGTTAATGATGTAATGATGGTTAATGATGGTTAATGATGGTTAATGGATATACCCTCTGGTAAACGTTTACATAACTATGGAAAATGGCCATAGAAATAGTGGATTTACCCATCAAAAAGGGTGATTTTCCAGTTCGCTATGTTAGTTTACCCATAAAACTATGGAAAATCACAATTTTTAATGCGTAAATCGTCTATTTCTATGATACATTTTCCGTAGCTATGTGAGTTTACTGGAGGGTAATGTCAACTGTGGATTGATAAAGGCCTAGGCTTTCTAATTGGGGTTGTAGCGATTAAGTACCATATTATGACTATGTGGAGGGTACCCCCCTAATTAAGCAACGATTGTTTATTAATCCGGGGTTGACATTTGACATTACCATAATGATATCTTAATATCCATGGATATCTTAATATCTTGACATATCCAGGGAATGGTTTCAAGTTTTTTTATCAATGGATATAATCATATATTGTATGTTCATATTATTTAATCGTCCATATTCCAAGATAATGGGATTTATCCATGTTCTCTGGGAGGTTTTTTTTTTTTTCCGGGCAGTTCCACCATACCATTCTCGCTATCTGGGGATCGCTGTGCTGAAAAAAATGAAGTCACCAGTTTATCGGATTGTTTTGCCTGCAAAGATCACATGATAATGTCGTCGACAAGGACATGATTGGTTTCCGATGTATCTGAGGGATGTGCACGTCACATACCCCACAGGAGTTCTAGTGTTTGCGGACGGTTTCTATTTCTCCAATAAACACTATGTTGTAGAGTGGGTCCCCATCATTTGAATCATTGTTCGGTTTATCTCGTGGCCAACCAGATAATGTTTGTTTGCTTCATTTGGGTAGACATCAATATGGGGCTCGGTCGGCCAAATCAACAAGGTGCCCAGATATAACTTAGTTTATAATCCAGATTAAGTGTACTGTAAATGATGTTCTACCATAAACATCCGTAAACCCAACACTTCGACTAGACTTTTATCAATGGCCATTTCAGGTATCTAAACGGGAGGTACTGTAACATATAAATCCATATTTTGGAGGTATATTGCCTTTCATAGCCCTGCAAAATCGACCTTATTTCTGCTAGCCGATAAATCTGTTCCTGAAATGGCCGCTGATTATATTAACCATTCTAAACTCATTTTTAAACCAGCATTGACCATTATTAACCATTGTAAACCAGCATAACCCATTATAACCTTACTAACCATTAATCAACCAGTATTGAACCATTCATGTAAACCATTCTCAGTATAAACCATTATTAAATATGTATATATATATATAAACCATCAACTATTACATATTAATCGTTATTAAGCCAGTATTACCCACTATTAAACCATTTATATCAGCCATCTATGTCCGTTTTCAGGGTCAACTCAGCGTTCACCATGCCTCCACCTGATAGCGTCCCATCTCATGCAGAAGACGCTGCGCACGGGGCCAAACTTCTCCTGGCTCCCGTGGGGCCAAGATGGGCCAAGATGGGGTTCAAGCATCGAACATGGGCGAGTCTCCTGTAAACTCAGGGTCGTTCATGGTTTATATTAATGGTTTATGGATATAAATGGTTTATATTAATGGTTCATTCATTTCATATGTATATATATATATATAATTAATGGTTTATAAACTGAAAGGGGTTATGATTATCAACGGTTAATAATGGATATTCATGGACCAAGTTATAAGTGGTTAATAAACTGTTGTCAATGTCAATCACCATTAGTGGTCAATAGTTCTTATTTATGGTAAAAGATATGTTATACAAAGGGAATGGTTAGAAAAATGGTAAGAATTAGGCTATGAATTACCACTAAAAACAGCTTATACCTAGTTATACCTCAACAAATGGTACATAAATGGTTACTAATGTTAACTTAGTGGTTTTTTGAGATTTGTTTTCCAATAGCCTCCAGGATGCAAACATAGCCAACATAGCAAAATTCTATCGATGTCCCATTGAGTTCGATTCCCAGCCCGGCTAACTTGGAGAGATAACCAAGGAGTGAAGTGAGATACCCCCTGGTAATTTAACATAGCTATTGAAAATGGTGATTTAAAATGGATTTACCTATTGAAAATGGTGATTTATAGTGGATTTACCCATTGAAAATGGGGATTTTCCATAGTTATTATGTTAGTTTACCAGAGGGTATTTGTACCACATGAATATTGGTGATATGACACAATATACTTTGGATATAACATGAAAATATCTAATAATGACATATATGGGGTCAATTGAACATATGAGGCCCCTAAATTTGATGGTTTAGATATAATGATATAACATGTTTGCATCCCAACATACCCAACAATGATGTATATATATATATATATGTGTGTTTATTTTATTTTTTAGATAATTATGGGTTTGTGGCATTATTATCATGGGTCATACCATGGGTCATAATACATAATCAAATCTACAATAAAATACATACACATGGTATTATGGAATTATAATGCAATTTTGAATATTTAGATACTCTCTGGTAAACTAACATAACTATGGAAAACCACATTTGTTTTATGAGTAAATCAACTATGAATGACCATTTTCAATAGCAGACTGTTAGTTCACCAGAGGGTATACCATCATATATCCCATTAAATCCCATTAAATCCCATTAAATCCCATTAAATCCCATTGAATCCCATTGAATCCCACTAAATCCCATTGAATCACCATTGAATCACCATTGAATCACCATTGAATCACCATTGAATCACCATTGAATCACCATTGAATCACCATTGAATCACCATTGAATCACCATTGAATCACCATGGCTCATTGCTCCGTCACGCCACTTCAACACGAAAAAAATCGTGGCGTCCGCTTCAAAGCGTCCTTTCTCACAGGCAGAGATGGCCGCGCTGCAGGTGATCACCTGAGTCATCGAAAACATGATCCTAAACTTAATACCAAGCTCAATGTGTATCATATACTATGATATTAGTGAACCAGGTATGATATATGTATGTATATGTATATGTATATGCGTAAAAATATGTATATCTATATATATATACTATACATATATATATATATATGTATATATATACTATATATATGTATATATATATATGTATAGTATGTATATATATATGTGTATATGTATTAATTATATGTACATATACATAAATAAATGTATATATATATTATACACCTATGTATGTGGACCTTGGTCCTTGGATGTGCAAATATACTATCACATGCCTCTTCATCGGATCTTGTCCATGGCAGGAATGGGCCACCTTTAGGGGGCTAGCATGGTCCACTGGGAATCCTTGAGATCTTGGAGTTTTGCAAGCTTAGTATCTGGTTGGTGGTTTCAACCCCTCTGAAAAATATGAAAGTCAATGGGAAGGACTATCCCATATATGAAATGGAAAATAAAAAATGTTTGAAACCACCAACCAGGTATGTTTAGCAATTTCTCTTCTATACTTATTCCATCTAAAAAACCCAGTTCACATAGCAGTACATCGCCTTGAAACATGAGACTGTCCATAAATATTTTTGGATGGGGTTATCTTCCTGTTGATGGGGATTATGGCGCGCAATGCACGTGTCAACTCTGTGAACCGTTCCCCAAGCACCATCTGCCATTCACTGCTAAAAATCGACAGCCTTGTTTCTCTTCCATAAAAACTGAAGGGTTCAATTTTCAACTACTCTGTTCAATGTCTTTTCCATACAAATTCATACAATTTCCATAAAATCACCAAGCCTTAGTTATTGTTTGGGTTCATAAAATTCCAACAACTCTGCTAGAACGGAAATCAATCTCTGGGGATGGTAAAGCGAGAATCCGCCGAATCGGTGATCGACCTGGGATTGATTGAAATCCAATCTAGCCAGAGCCCCTGTGGGCAAAAATGTATGTCAGGTAGAGTCAGGTAGCTCAAAATGTATGTTTCAACATGTATGTGAAAACCAGGCCTGGAACACTGGGACAGGTAGCCACAGGATGTGTATGTCTCCTGGTATGTATATATGCTATATATTATATACTATATACTAGGTATATATATACTATATATATATACTATATATATAATATATATATACTATATATATATATATACTTACTAAACTACAACGTGGGGCCCCCGTTTACGAAATCGCAAAGCTGGTGCGTGCAAATAACTCCAATGTCACAAAAAGGGGATATAGTAGATATAAATATGATATAAATATGATATAAATATGATATAACTATAGTATCAATAGTAAATTCATGGGCTTTACTGTACTTGCTAAGCAAGTAACACGAATCTAACTGGGGACCCAAAAAATCCCCAACATCACTGGGGGGTCGACTTTCGGAGATCTTTTTTTCCATCGAAAAATCCCATAGTTACTGGAGTTATGGTCACCAACCAGGCTACTGGTGGTGCAATTACCATGTTGAAAAATGATGGGAGTGTTCGTCAGTTGGGATGATGACATTCCCAACCGAATGGAAACATAAAACATGTTTGAAACCACCAGCCAGATAGGGTTGTGTAGGTAATGGTATTCACCAGGCTGGGTATGTTGCTAGTAGTTGCTAGTTTTAGGTCCAAGTGAAAAATCCCAAACCGATCTTAATCTTGAGTTCCTTTGCAGAGGTATTCACCAAAGATTTGATATGAATTGATATGTTTCTAAACATAAGTCCAGTTCTGGTATACATTCAAGCCAGCTCAGTTTACTGTCAGCTACTTGCGGGTGCACTTCCACTCATATGTGGGTTATATAATTAAACATAGTGGTACGGGGTATACCCTGGTCAACTAGCTATTGAACATGGCCATTTATAGTTGATTTACGCATTAAAAATGGTGATTTTCCATAGTAACGTTAGTTTGCCATATGTAGTTCTATTCCAATTTATGAAGTGAGGATGTCACTTCAGACTGTTGCCGGGACGTAACCTGACCTTCATGAAGTTTTGGATTTGATTCACCCCATCGAGTTGACGAAATCCTTCTTTACATTTAATGAATTGGGGATGGGTCAAAACCCTGGTACCTAGTGAACCCCAACATAGCTGGTAAATGGATGTTCATCCCCCTAAAAATGGTATCTATAGGTGTTGACCCATACCCAATTCATGACTTTAGACCTAGAAAACTATGGAAAACCACCATTTTCAATGGCTAAATCCACTATTTCGACTGGGCCATTTTCCATAGCTATGTTAGACATCACCAGAGGCTATGTGTTAGCCTCTGAAAAATCAAAGGTGGCTGGAAAATCCCCCAGACATCAGAATAGCTGGGATCTATGGGTGTTGCCCCTAAAACAGGTATCGGTATTGATCCGTAGCCATGTCTGATGAAACATGTTTTTAATGTCAGATTTTTAACCAGATCTGGTTGGTGGTATAACTACCTACTCTGAAAAATGATTTTTAGTGAGTTCGTCAGTTGGGATGATGACATTCCCAAGATATGATGGGAAAGTCATAAAATTCCATGGTTCCGAAGCACCAACCAGAGATTGGTTTGTTCTATTCTGCCCGATTTTGGTGAAACGATTCCAGGTTGGCTCTCTGGGGTGAGTCGACCCTTGTACCACCCACGACCGATGTTTGAAACTTGATCATGGTCCCAAACAGCAAGCATTTATTACTTGGCTGTGCATCCCGATTCGTAAATTGGTCAATAACCACACTATAACCATATTATATAACTGTACATCTCGTTTAGTTATGGGATATCACTTATGATTTTAGGATTTCCTCCAGGTTATATGTGGCCTATAATCCACTTACGAAGGCCATCATGCAGTTAGCTGTTCCAAGGTTGTCAGCCATTGACGCACCATGCCGGATGAATAATAGCCGTGTGTTGCAAGGTCAAGCGACCTCCGTGCCATGGCAACGTGTTCCATTCCACCAGTCATCAGTTTGCTGGTTTCAACCTACGCATTTCAAACAAATAGTCAAGTGTCAAGCGGGTTTATTCATGACAATGATGATGGAAAATCGCGTGTGCCTGAAAAAATATCAAGCAGCTGCGCAAAAGGCAGAGGAACTACATGGTTGGCGGTTTGCTGATGTTGCTGTCTATTTGCAAATCTTGGGTCCGTCAAATGTCAAATTTGATGGTTAATCCTAATTTCCCAATCAATTGCTGCTATAATTGATAGTATACCCCATGTTCAATCCCATAGAGGTGTTGTTATCAAAAAATATCATTCAATTCATGACTTATATCGTATCCTCATTTCAATCCCGATTATATGCATGCATATATTGCGCATATGATATATATATATAATTATATATGTATAATATCTCTATAAATCCCATGAAATCACCATTTTGCCTGGTGACATCACCATTTTTCCTATGGTTTTTCTATGCTTTTCCTTCCATGAAACGATCGCCCTGGCACCGTTGCCAGCACCGCCGCGTGGCGCAGCCGGTGAAAGACGTGCTGCGCCGCCGTCCAGGCGCCGGATTTCTCCAGCGCCGTCAACGCGGCGTTGAACGCCACGGCGCTGCGTTGCAGCGAGACCTGGGAGGCCTGGCTCATGGCTCCCAGATTCTACTGGTTGGTGGTTGACCTACCCCTCTGAAAAATATGAGTTCGTCAGTTGGGATGACTATTCCCAACTGAATGGAAAAATAAAACATGTTCCAAACCACCAACCAGTCTATTATTTCATTGAAAATCCCATGTGACAATGGTTTTTTTTAGATCACTAAAATCCAGAGGGATAGAGAATCTTGTAGATATGTTTAGATCTCAACATATAATACATATATCAACATTTAAAATCACATAGGGATAGATGAATATAGATCCAACATCCCAACATCCGTCCCACCTCGAAAGCGCTCAACAGCTCCGTGGCGCGCTGCCACTCTGCACCCTTCGCCGTTGCGCTGATGGCACCGCTCAACGTCACCACGTCGCGTTTTCGACCGACGTCGAGGCTGGATAGCAGCCTTCACTTCCGGACGTTAAAAAACGTGGTGAAACGTGGTGAAATCACTGTAGCTTTGGAACAATGGTATGGAAATTGCATGGAATATATACAGTATGAATGTTATAAGTGATAGCCAATACTTGGGAATAACTATGATATGGAAGTTATAAGTGATAACATGTGAAGGCTCTATTAACCAATACTTGAGTTTATGATCATATCTTCTGGGCTTTCAGTATGGAAAATGGCAGCTATGGGAGGTTGGGATGGAATGAATCCAACATTGTTTCCGATGATGCTGGAATCAACCACTGATCAACATTGCTGGACAGTTTGGGTGGTGATATTGCAAGTTGATTGATTGATATTGTCAAATGTGTTACAGTAGTTGACATTCCCACTTCACCAAATTGAGATCAAAGACAATGGTTACACCGTATCTCTTTTGGTGTTTGAAGTACGTATATACAAAGCATTACAAAACCTGAGAGAATGAAGCAGTGATTCAGCAGCGAATTGAATATCTTAGATGGTCGTCCCAGTGAAAAGCTGTTTTTTCTTATTAATTACACATCATACCCATGTATTTATATATATATATACATACACATATGTATACACATATATATATATATATCCTGTGTATATATATATATGTATAATTGGGGATGATCCATATGAAACATCCGTTACATCCTGTGCACCATGATTGAAGCATGGTGACTTTGGATATTCAAATAATGTGATGTTAGTAAAGCACTAATAAATCATCAACATTTTGATGGTTTATTACACCCATAGAAATGGTAAGTCATTGGGAATGGTGGATCCTATTGCTTTACTACCGTTACAACTTCTCAAACATGATTCAAACAAGCCAAGCTGCCGCGTTACGATACTACAAGCAATCAATTGATTAAAGAGACAAACCAATGATTTCTGATATGACATGTCAACTTGTCAAACACCCCATGAAATTCAAACACCAAGCCAGGCAGAGACATTACAATTAGCGAAATTCACATGTTTTCCAATTTTAAGAGCAACTTCTAGAGTCTCTACGGGGTTCCATGTGGTGCCACCCAATGCCTCCCAGACAATAATATTACGCATGATGCCGAGCTAAGCTTTGCCTGGATTCAATGTTTTTCCTCCAATTGCACTAATTACACATCCACTCACAATTATATTCACGTGCAAATAATGGACAAATAGATTAAATAGACGATTTTTTTCCGGATGTTCTATGATATCATTGTGTATCCCTATGGATCCAAGTACCTTCTTAGGAAGTGTTTGGGGTATGATTTAGGGGGTTAAGTACCTTCTCAGACAATGTTTGGATCCATATATATATATACATTCTGAATATGTATTGATTCTCCTCATCCACATGAAACGACAACTCAGTGTCAGGCAACCTCCTTATGGATTTGACGACTCATGAAAATCGGAATTGAGCTGCACCTTTGCGGGATGTACTTGGATGTAACTTTGACTCGATATTCAGAATGCACCGAGAATCTCTGAAACTTGTTGCCATTCACCAGACTTTTCACATGCGCTGATTGCAGCATTGTAGGTCAACACCTTAGCTAAAAAAAGCAGCTAGCATCATCCCGCAAAGGCGCAATCAGGACATGAGATCCGCCTATGTCAGGCCAACCTGGTGGTGAAACTCAGCCCAGAAATACAAGCTGATCGCAGCTCAGGCTAAACAGAAACTGAACAACGACATATTTTTGGAACCGCTACAATACAGTTTATTGATATATAGTTGACTTTGTGAAAGGATCACAATTTGAAAACAAATCGCTGAAACACATGTGTATATATATATATATATATGTATGTATATATATATATATGTGATTTAGGTGTATTTATTTCAATCTCCGCCCAAAAAAAATGGAACACTGAAATCCGACTGGAATAGTCGTAAATAGTTTGTCTATCTTATTGGGGTTTTCTTTAACGTAACTGTCAAGATAAACAACTGTAAAAAAAATGCTATAGACCCATTGTAATATGTCAATACATATTATCACTTGCGTGCAACTGCTAAAGTCACTGCTACGAGTAGTATGCTATTTTTTTCTTCACTCATCTATGCCATCGGGTAGCATCAGGGATCGTGCAGTTAAATAGTAAAAAACTGGTTGAACAGTTGTCTCAGTCAACACAAAGTATATCGGGTCACAGAAAACCCGGACCAATGTGCTGAAATGTGTTGAATGTTTACAACGGCAACTCACATGTAGTCGAAACGCTAGTTCCGAAAAATAAATGCAGGAATGATTAGCATGTTTGACCCATTTTCACAGGGGTGTAAATAATACTGGAATATGTTTCACCTAATTATAGCCTATCTATAACTATACTGAAAATCCATATAATAAATCCCAAATATGTTGCTGTGAACTGCAGCTGATGCAGGGTCGTGACACAACCGCAACTGGACAATTCGGGTGAAAGTCAGGTACGGGTCAACATTGGGACTACGTTTCAAAAAGGATATGAATTAACATGATGGGAATATGAATGGAGATATGTATATAATATAATTAGAATTCCCGATTGTTAATAACTGTCAACAAGATATCCATTGTTATGATTGTTCGATGAACCTGCACAAACAATATTTTCTAACTGGGTGCATGATTCATGGTTTCAAATTGACTTATTTTTCACCGACCCTTCACCATTTTCACCATGGGTGTTGTCTCATTCCTGCTGACGACTACCACATGCCGCAAGAGAAGCGTCAAGCAACGCTGGTCAGGCAACGCTGGGTCACGCCGACACATCACAGCGACATGGCACCACGGCCATATGCTTTGGGGGAAGCCTCAACAATCCATTTTGGGGGTCCATACATCATCATATTCTATCCCAGCAATATATCCTATATATAAATATATATGGTTGGGTTGTTAGTGTTGTAAGCAGGTATATAACTATATATACTTATACATATATATATATATATACAGGCCGTCGTGATTATGAAACCACAACCACAAATAAAGGGATAACCGATATTGATTCTATGTATGTATATATATATACTCATATACGTGTATATATATATATACATATGTACTAACCCACAAAAAGATAGCAACGTCTGAAATCTTATACTATATTCTATTTGTTTCCAGATCTTTTTGGGGGGTTGCAGGGTGTTATATATGTATTAATATATACTATATATATAAACTATATATATACAATATATATATACTATATATATACTATATATATACTATATATATATAGATATGTGATATATAAATATATATAAGTACACATTCTATATGTTTGGACCACCCATAGTTGTGCCTCACGATTTGATCGCCAAGTGGCATTCTGCTGAAGATCTCGAGCGCACAAGCGCTCCAGGAGACCCACTGCCTGAGTCTTCGCGACGGTTTTAAGCGACGGAAAAGTCATAGGAAAACCATAGGAACATCATAGGAAAATACTGGTTTCGGATCTTCAAAAGAAGAATGATCATAAATAAGTATGTATATATATATATGGATAATATGGGATATTATATGGATAGTTGACCGGATGGTTTCGGTTCTTCAATACTGGTTTGAATGGGAACATCATAGGAAAATCACGGGAAAGTCATAGAAAAACCGTGGTTTTTATATGGGAAATCCCCGAACTAAATGCTAGTTGGTGGTTTCAACCCCTCTGAAAAATATTAGTCAATGGGAAGGACTATCCCATATATTATGGAAAATAAAAATGTTTGAAACCACCAACCAGAAATGGTACATCTAGGTATGTATATCCATAATATTGCGAGATGCACATGTGCATCTAAAGGATCAATATACGCGCACTGCAAGTCAAACTAAATATCTTTCACCTGGGACCTAGGATTCAAAAGCTCTGCTGTCCAACACTAATGGGCAAGGAATTGGCCTTGGAAACCAAGGAACAAAAAGACCCACCATCCTTGGCGAAACGTCCAGTCAGTCTGAGAACACTCTTGTTCTCTTATTTCACGGAGGTTTCTACTCATGGTAAACTTTAGATGATATCCGTAGGTCACAAAAGAAAACAGGATCGCCGCATTTGGTTCAGCACCCAAAACATGCAAAAAACCATCGTTTTCACCCAATTATTGGCACGGATTCCTGTCTAGGTTTACCATCCTGAGGCGAAAAATGGCAATGGAAAACCACGTTACCGTTGTTTGAACCACTCCCAAACAATTCGTCACTTGGCGTTGGGGAAAACGTTCCAAGGACAAGTTAAAAGCATTTTGCGGAATCTGGTTTGGCCTAGCAAACAGTATAGTATAATCAAGTGTACAAAGCCCTAATAGTGATTTGTTTAGAGGGAAAAAACCATGTGTAATCATCTATTTAGGCATTTTGAAACCAGCAATCCATGAAAAAAGTGACCAAAAATAACCATGGATTTTGTACAAACCTTATGAAAAGTAATTATATAGTAATTCTATATCATAAATTATCTAAAGGATATATCTGAAACACTGTGAATTCATCTGTCATATCATTTGGTAAACTAACATAGCTATGGAACATGGGTGATTTATAGTTGCTTTGCCTAACATGGTGATTTTCCAGTTCGCAAACTGTTAGTTTACCAGAGGCTATCTGATCATCGAGAATTAGTCTATGATTTTGCCTCAGAAAGATAAACTGATATATATATATATAATCAACTAATTATAGATTAACATGATGAATGATTCAATGATAATAAATAATAATAAATATAGTTATATTAGTTATGTACTATAGAAGCAATATCCCCATTGTTAAATATTGTTCGTGAATAGCTTTCCGGTGAGCATGGTCCAACCAATCCAATGAACTATGGACAATCCATCCATCTGGGTAAATTATAAGGACCGAACCCTGTTCTCCCGAACGGAATCATGGTTTATTTCAGGGGAAGTCATCCCCAAATGGCGGCACGAAATTCAGGTGAACGTGAAATGATATATATAATTTACCCAGATGCATTAACAATAGTTAACATTCATTGGATTTTATCCATTAACCATATTTGACCATATTTAACATTCATTAGCCATCCAATATTGTGGGATGATTATCATTATGATTTACATAATTTCCACTATTATGGTGAACATGTTCCAACCAATCCGATATTTAATGAATGTTTTCCGAATTAATCTGGGCAAATTAAGATATTTCACTAACCTAAATAGTGCGGCCATTGAGGGATGATTCCCCTGAAATAAACCATGATTCCAGGGTTCGGGAGAACAGTTAGGTCGTTATAAATTACCCATATATATATATTACTATGGTTTATGGTATATTATACATAAGTTATTAATAAGTATCTACTTGATTCTAATTGCATATACATTAGGTCATTATATATATATATATGTATATATATATATATATCTATGTATAGAAATACATATACCCTCTGGTAATTTGTCAAAATAGCTATTGAAAATGACCCAGTCGAAGTAGTTCTTCCCTTGGCCTGGCGCCATACGGAGCCCTTCTCGCAGGCGCTGATGCCTCGAAAGGCACGGCAAGGGCGAGCGAAGCGAGGGGGCGACGTCTCTGTGGTATGTTCTGAAAATAAGATGTAAATGGATGTATGTGTAAGTATAATTATATCTATATCTATATCTCTATCTATATCTATACGTGTATATATATATATGTATATATATATATACAACAGATAGATGTAAATAGATGTAAATAGATTCATATGTATGTATACGTATATATACACACAAAATATATGAATTAAGAAATAGATCGGTGTGCATCTTTGTTCTTCAAACTGTAACCCACGGCCATGGACTTTATGGATCTTTATGGATCTATGGAACACATATCATTTTGTTTTGTGATTTGTTGGTTTATGTTCCCCAATCTAGCTATACAGTAGCTAATTGTAGCTATATCATGCTATATCAAACAAAACAATAGTTAAGCTAGTGAACAAAACCAACTTAGCTATCTTGAGGGAGAAACATTGCCTGATCTTTGAAAGGAGAACAAAGACCATTGTTCTTTTTTTGTGCTGGCACTCGGGTTTTGATCCAGATGCGTTGACAAAGCATCTAGGCAATCAGACTTTGCTTCCCGTACTGTAGTCAAACAAATCAGCATCAGTTTTTGGAGGTTTTGCAAGAGTCTCCTACTTCATGACTTATCAGAATCTTTTGTTTAAGAAAATTCAGGTCGTCCAAATATGATTCATGTGGGTAAAACAATGCCATAAACCACCCATGACTGGGAATGCTAAACATACCACCTATAAAAATGGTGATGACTGGGTGATGGTTTTAATGTGTTACTGCGGCTCCGCCGGGCCCAAGCATGCCATGACATCCTGGTTGGTGGTTTCTGTGAAAGGTGATGTTGGTAGAGGCAGCTTTGAATGGTAGCTGTACTCGCCTTTGTGGGCGGCGGGCATATCAAGATATATCAAGGATATTCACAGTTGAAAAACCCCTCCGAAAAATGATGGACTTCGACAGTTGGGATGATGACATTCCCAATGGAAAGTCATAAAAGTCATGTTCCAAACCACCAAGCAGTTCTTGATTAGTTCACAATCCAGACAATTGTCACTACATGTGAGGATGGGCATTGTCATGTTTGAATCGTTCACAATCGATACAATCGTCAATGAATATGAGTTGGGATGGGGACTATGATCATTGACAATACCAACTCATAATTGAACATTAATTGACAACTACAATTATCGGATGTCTATTCATGGGACATTGATAATTCTCAGCTTACTAATATATATATACACGAAATTATACGAAGATTCTATCTACAACAAACCATAATTGTTATCCTGAACAATGCATCCCTGGATAGTTACCCAACCTGGATAGTCTCCGCAACCTGACTTCAACTTCGTCACTGGCTCCATAGGTGACCACATCAGGACAAAGTTCTTGTGCCTACACAGAATCCCCTGGCTTCCACTGGTTTATCATTGTGTTTATCATGGTGTGTATCATGGTTTATCATGGTTTATCATGATTTACCCTCTGGTAATTTAACATAGCTATGGAAAGATCCACCATTTTTAATAGGAAAATCCACTATTTCTATGGCCATTTTCAATAGCTATGTTAAATTACCAGAGGGTAACCTCATGTTTTTCCAATCGCAATCATACTTTGGATCCAAGGTGAAGGATTTCGCAACCACAGAAAAAATGGATGCGAGTTTTCCCCATATATTTTCAGGCACACATGAGCTGCGGACCATATTTGTTACATAACGCAATTGACGGGGTGTTCCTACCTCGTTCTCCAGTCCCGTAACGTTTTTGCCTACCTCGTTCTCGGGGTGTTCCTACCTCGTTTTACAAGCTAAATATAATGTTTTTGACAAACCGGGGTACGTCCGAATACTACTTTCCATATACGCAAATAAGAGCCGTCGCTCACATCTATAGATGTAACTTCTGTGTACTAAGCAGCTTTTAGGCATCCCATTTTCAAAAGGGAGAGTGGCAACTCCGGAGATGAAGCAGGGCATTTCCAGCATTGATTACCCTCTGGTAAACTAACATAACTATGGAAAATCACCATTTTTTATGGGAAGACTCACTATAAATTGCCATTTTCAATAGCTACGTTAAATTACCAGAGGGTACTTGTTGGTTATGTGGTTCTTGGAAGGTGAGCTATCAAGGAAAACCACCAGAGGTGCCGGTGTTTTGTATGGCGGTTGGCAATAACTGGAATCAATCAATATGGATCATCATGGCATTATGGTTCACCCATCAATCATAGATCATCATAAAGGTCTTAAAAATAGTCAAACGTCATACCAGACTGAGTTTTGCATAGCATGTTTCACCGATTTCACGGCATCATGTGAAGCATTGTGAACCGCATATTTTGCTGAAGTAATTCTATGGCTAGATTCCTTACCGGGTCGAATCATGTCGAATCCCGAAAATCCCTCGGCCTCAGCATGCGCCAGAAGTTCAAGGGCCAACATCCATTGACCGCCCTTCTCTAACGAACTGATCGCGGCCTCCCGTTTCACAAACGTGGAAGCCACCCGAGGACCCGAGGCAATGTACGTGGGAAAAAATCCACATACGAAACGGAGCATTTAATGGGATTTAATGGGATTCAATGGGATTTAATGGGATTGAATGGGATTGAATGGGATATATGATTGTATAGCCTCTGGTAAACTAACAGTTTGCGAACTTGAACATGGCCATAGAGATAGTTGATTTTCCCAGCTATAAAATGGTGATTTTCCATTATGTAAACGTTTACCAGGCCGGGCAATGGGAACATCAATGAAAATCATCCATGGTGGATGTTCATGGATTTTCCATTGCCACGAAAAACGTTGCGGGAGGATATTTATGATTAGCGGTTAAAAATCTAGGTTCGAAGTTTGCCAATGGTTTTTGAATGGTCAGTGCATGGAGAGTGTTTCGCACGTAGTATCTAGTCAGATTCTTGAGATAGGATAGTTCTTTGGACTTATTCCCGGATAGGTACGTAGAGCAATCCCATCCCCCAGACTTCTTAAGAAAACACCTATTGTACGGTCCCAAATATGTAATTTCAACCCCTAAATTAAACCATGATTTGTGGGGTGTCTAAGATTAAGGGAGGGGATTATCCCGTAACTCGCCGATAATTTCCAATCATTATCCCATTCCCAGAAGTATACCATAATGATCTTTACAAACCCAGTTTCTGTCCGTTTGTCTAGGTGGCCCACCCTGAGTTCTAAGTTGGTTTGCATCCGATATATTCCCAGTAAACCCAACCCTTAGGTCGAAACCAACTTCACCACGGATCTGAGCATGAAATCCCAACAACCCCACTGTATCCTTGGATTGGCCCTATAGATTCCCCGAAGCATTGGATTTGCAAAAAAGTAAATTATACAAGGTGGTGCCCCATAGTTAGCTAAGTTGGTTTATTACTCCAATAACTACGGTTTATGGTAGTTTATGGTACTTTTATGTACTTCTATAACTATAGTTACTGGGGCGAATCTAAACCAACTAATAACTCGGGGGCCCCACATCCCATGGGAAGCCACAGGTTAAGTTATGGGGCTACCATACAGATCATCCATGTTCGGATTTTCCATTTCTCAGATACCTATGGACTTTGGAAAAATCACTCTCCAAAAAAGGGGATATACATACTAATACCATCCATAAATTGGAAACCCCATGGTTTTCCACGTTTTCCAAGCCCAGTAAACCTGCCCCTTTCTCCAGGTTTCCGGACACTCAGCGCCACAAGGCTTGGCCGAGCGGAGCCTCGGACGCGAAGTCTGATGGCTAGATGTGTTTGATGTGGAAATACATATGACAACATATGCAGTATGTATATAACAACACAAACCAATAATCTGAAAAAAAAAACTATAGTTATCTATTATAATCTATTTGACAGCTATGTACTATGTATAATATTCTATAAATCGATAATATGTATTAATATGTATCTTGATGCATTTTAATGTATCGTAGGATATAGACTATGGGTGCTTTAGACATAACTATGTGAGAATCTGGAAAAACCACTGGTTTTGGTCAGCCAAGCACCCCAGTTGGGGTGCACCAGAAATTTGGTCATTCTGAGTCTCAAACAATCGAATTTGGCTGTGTAATTGATGAGCCATGGCCATGCGTGTGTGATTCATTTCGCGTGAACGTACCCTGGTCTGCATAAAAAGTATCAATCTAATAGAATATTGATATGTAAATCACTCATAATCACCCTTCAAATCGCTATGAAAACCAACCAGGACATATATCAATTGATGGATATTGATGGCCATTAAAAGGGCCGCCGTTTCTTCGTTTTGTTGGATGTCAACGGTCACCAACACTTCAGATGTTGGCACCTAGGTCTTGTCCTATTCAAAAGTTAGAAATTGGGGTTTCCATAAATGGGGGATCCCCCAAAATTGTTGGTTTATCATGGAAAATCCATCTGTAAATGGATGATTTAGGGGTACCCCCATTTCAGGAAACTTCCGATTGTACACCATAGTTGTTCGTCACAAAAACCCACTGGATCTGACTGGAAACTGAGATGCAAATTGTCTAATCCAGATAGAGAGCTGTTCCGGTCTCTTGTCAAAGGTGGTTATTAAAAACACGTAAAATATGTCACTTGGCAACACCACAAAATGTCAGCAGGGAATAGATCTAACATAGCTATGGTATAGATGAACCATTTATGAATGGTTTAGTTACCCTCGCCTCTTAAGAATTGTTTTTTCCCCATGGCTATGTTAAATGGAGACATGTAAGACATGTGCTCCACTTAATTTGTCCTGTGTCTATCATTTTTCACCATCTGATTCTACCCATACACAGACTATGCCGCTCCATCCAACTTTGAGCATTTGGTTCTGACATCCATATCGCAAATAGTTTCCATTGAGACGGCCCATTTATAATTGATTTACCCATAAAAATAGTGATTTTCCATAGTTTTTTGTATGTTTACCAGAGGGCACGTATATTCATCAACGAGGAAAACACATGTTAGTTTTGTACTATGGTTGGTGAGTGGAGATGCCAATGAATCAAAACACACAAACAAACAATTATTACTCTCTGGTTATGACTCACATAGCTATGGTATAGATGGATCATGTGTGAATGATTTACTTACACTTACCTCTTAAGAATGTTTTTTTTCTCCATAGCTGTGTCAAATAGCCATAGGGTATTTATCATTTTTATCACCAAATTTATCCAACTTGTTGATACTTAAAACATGTAAAGACCCTCTATAGATTGTGGTTAAACCGACTGTTTTTGCCACTGTTTGTTTATTGATTTCTGTATAAGGTGGTTCTGCGTCCCTCCCAGTGACGGGTTCGTTTATTGTCAAAATCTATATTATAAACCCAACAGCTTCTTGAGTTGTGTCAACCAACTTTGTCAACATTCCCACCCGGGACACACAAATTCTGAAAAAAAACAGTAATTATATCAATGATGTCCCATTAACATCCAATAGTATCCATTAATAAAGGTATGGATTAGTTAGTTATATGAACAACATGCAAATAAGTTGTATATAGTTATATCATCACTTAGGTTATCCGATAGTTCCACCAATTAAGTACCCATTTATAAATATCCAAACAGGTTGGTTCTATCACCTTACCCAACCTGTTTTTTTTTCAAGAACAATGGGCACAAAAAAAAAAAAACGACGAGGCCAGGCCGTTTCGCAGATCTCCGGATATCTCCGGGTGAAAGCGTGGGTGCGAAATGGTTTCGAACTCCGTCCAACAATGATGTATGATGATGATGATGATGATGATGATGATGATGATGATGATGATGATGATGATGATGATGATGATGATGATGATGATGCTGATGATGATGATGATGATGATGGTGATGATGGTGATGATGGTGATGATGGTGATGATTGATAGTTATGATACTGATTGATAGGAGGCATAGTCTCCTCCACATTTTGACCTTCGGCAGTTGCAGGACGCAAAAGCCTTGCTGCAGGTGTTGACGACAAAGTTTGCAATGTTGACCAAGGCTAGGATGGATCATATTTTGCGGCCGCAAATTTGCACTTGGGGCAGGTGACGGTCGATTTCAGCTCCCTTTGAAGGCGTTGAAACCCTTCCCTTTCGTGACTGCCTTTCTGCCCCCAGGGGGACAAAGCAAGATATTTTCTGGGGTCCTGGATGAGCATTGTGATGCTGAATTGATGTAGCATGATGTAGCATGATGTAGCATGATGTAGCATGATGATGATGATGATGATGATGATGATGATGATGATGGTGATGGTGATGCTGATGATGATGATGATGGTGATGATGACGATGATGATGATGATGATGATGATGAGGATGATGATGATGATGATGATGATGTATGATGTATGATGTATGATGTATGATGTATGATGATGATGATGATGAAGAAGATGAAGATGAAGATGCATATGAATCGACTGTCTGTCTTGGAAACGAGGCGGCCGAGGCACCACCCAGCTTCGACAGCAAATGCAAAGCCAACGGCCATTGCGTACATTTCTCACCTGGCATCAAGAGAAATGGACGTTTATTTGTTTAACTGTTTAAGAAACAAATGCAAGTGTATGCTAATTGTACACTCTCTATCTGTCTGCCTGTCTGTCTATGTCTACCTATGTCTTCCCTCTTTCTATCCTCTATCTATCTATCTATCTATCTACCTACATATATATATATAGATATATATCATTATTTTCTATACATATCATCGTATTCGTCTAGCTACCTATCTATTTCTCTATCTATATATCTATCTATCTAACTATCTATCTACTTATCTATATATCTATCTATCTATCTATCTATCTATCTATCAATCTATCAATCTATCAATCTATCTATCTATCTATCTATCTATCTATCTATCCAATAATATATAATATCCATCCAACCACCCATCCATCCATCCATGGTGATTCCTCAACTGCAAATTCTACATGGCCTGTTTGGTGAAATCTCCGGTGTCCCCAAAAAACGGTTAGCATCGATTCGTTTACCAAAACACCTCGAAGCGCCTTGAAGAAGTTTTTGTTGTGACCATTAACAATAGGTAGATCTATGAAAATAACCAAGGTATTGAAGATCTATGTTTCTATGAAGGTCTTGATTTATGGATTTTCTATGAAAATATATAGGGATTAATAGGTAGATCTATGTTAATCATAGATAAAATTCTTTCGTTGCCATAAGATAAACCCCAGGAAATGGTGTCAGTTTTTACCATGCTGAAACTCAGCTTTTCGATGGGGAAAAATCATGATGACTTCCGTGGATCGAAATGGTTTGCCCTACCACTGATTTGGAACCTGAAAGAGAACAACGACAGAGGCTCCAGGATGTGTAATTAATGTTATTAACTTCAAAAATCCTGGTTGGAATCAAAGATTTCTATCTACTTGGGGGTACCATCAAATACAATCCTCCCAACTTGATTGTCTGAATTGTCTGTTGGCCCAGATATGCTTGAAAGAACCCCCAAAGCACTTGCCACTGACTACCCCCAATAAAACTTTAAAGGTGCCACTTACATATTTGATGCAATGATTTTCCATGGTCAATCTTTGGTAGTTCACCAAAAAATGACACATTTCGCTGGTGATGTGTTTATTTATCAATATTTTTCATGTACCCTCTGGTTATTTAACATAGCCATGGTATAGATGGCCCATTTATAGATGGTTTACCCATTAAAAATGGTGATTTTCCATGGCTATGTTAGTTTACCAGAGGGTATAAGAAAAACTAAAGGATTAACCCGATTCCCAGGGTTTTTTCCTAGCCAAAAACTCAAAGGATTAGTTTCGAGCTATCCAGGGGCCCGGGGTTCTTTCCGATCATATCCCTGGTTGGTGGTTGAAAAACAATCTTGAAAAAATGATGGAGCGAAAGTCAATGGGAAGGATGACATCCCATATCTGAAATGGAAAAGAAAAGCCATGTTCCAAACCACCAACCAGATATGCTAATGATGGTTAATGATGGTTAACTATATAAATATATAAATAAAGTATATATATATATGTCATATAAGAAACCAGTGACGTGAGGTTACTATAACGAATGGGGATTTTCAATGGATGGAGTTTCAGGGGAAAATCCAATGGTTCCACGCCCCACGACACCAAGTGACAAGCACTGATCGCCGCTCCGAAAGTGACCACCGTCCCTGCTGTCCACATTGCACATGGTCAACGTGACGTACATTGGTGGTGGATAAATATGGCTATAAATGAAATATCATGGGGATACATACATGGAATAACAGCTATTTTTGTGGGTCGAAATATGTTGAACCTTCCAAAATGAACCACCAAAACCCAAGTGGCGCCCAATAGTACACAAGTTTTTGCTGAGATAACATGTTATATAAAAACCCATCCAACTGCAGAGATATCGGTCATTTTTACCAAGCCAGCCTTCAACAAACATACACCGATGCCGGGCACCACTGACAGGGTCAAATATATTTTTTTTTTTTGTAATTAAATATATAATTATATATATATATATATATAATTATATATATAATTATTTATATACTCGATGGGGATCAACAGAAATTGTCTTTACCCACCACCACCACTACTGCTGAAGCTACTTCTACTATTACCACCACAGAATGGGGAGACGGTACAACCCCTGTTAAGCTGCATTTATGATTGTTTGTTCCCATCAGGTATATATATATATATAGGTATTAATTTGCCACCCTTTTTGTTGGTTGCTAAAGTTTTGTGCTTGCATTGTCTAGATCCACCATCCAGGCACATTGATTCATTTGATTCCAAGAGCCCCAATTCGACTCATGCCAACAGATTGACATAGTCACTTTGGTTTGATTGGTTCATTGGTTCCCTACTTAGATGAGCCATGGAGTTAGTTAACTACTTAGTAAATGGATTATTTCATTGGGATTGGTTGGGGGTAACAAATCCCCAGTTACTAACCAATTAGCTAATCCCATGGCCCATCTAAGTATAGGATCCTCGTTCTTGTCCGTACGTATCCTGCATGATGTTCCATTACTACGCTCGTCTATCGGAGCTGATCTTGGCCACTCTGGGTTGCTGAAATCTGCATTTCATCAAGAGAAACCCGGATTTCTTTTTTTTGGTTCATGTCTTCATTCCAATCATTCCAATCATTCCAATCATTCCACATCTTTTCCTCAGATCCTCAGTTGTTGCTGTTGCTTAAGTTGCCAACAAATCATTGCTTCGTAAAATCCCGCAGAAATCGGGAGGTCTCATATCGCAGTCCCGCCTTCCAGTTGCCTGTCCTCCAAGTCCGCCATCAAAGCCAGTGCATGTTGCCATTCTCCTCCTTTCTCACCTTCGCGAAGCTATCCATGGTGGTATCCATGGTCAAGTCAGGTGGTTGCACAAGCTGCACACAAGTGTTTCTATGCATGCATTACATTGTATTACTACGATCAACTCCCACCATTTGCCCCGCTTCTAGAAGAGTTCGACGGGAACGTTTTCATCATCACTATCATCAACATCATCATCATCATCGTCGTCGTCGTCGTCGTCGTCGTCGTCATCGTCATCATCATCATCATCATCATCACCGACATCAACAACATCGCTGGATGACATCAGTGGAGCGAGAGTACTCCACCAAGTTTGTCACACAGACGGAAGACAAACCACGCTCGTGGATCCACGGCCCCTCAGCCAATGATGGCCCCATAGAGTCGGCGAATGCCCTTATGCGTCGTCGAAGATACACATCTATATTCGCCCCAATTTGCCCTTTGGCGACGATGAGCAAGAGGATGCCGACAGTGACGGAGATCAGGCATGATGTCACGGGTGACCCTTTTGTGAGGAGTAGCTGTGCGAAGTTGCTGTCCCCGTCGAACCTCATCCCAAATTTGTTTCCGATCTCAACCACGATCTCAGTGAGCGTGGCTCCAACAGCGCGATGGAGTTCCAGCAATCTTGTTAGAACGAACAGCTCTAACAGAATCCTACCAAATTGCTGCAAAATGCACCCATCCCACCCCACCTTAAATCATGATAATTAGATCATCATATTATGTATATGTATATTGGTATATGACTACAGTAGTGCCAATATTACCCCAGCTTAATGCTTGTAACTCCCGAACTGTCAACTGCAATATGGTTCTCAAAAATTTCTACGGGCAAGCCCCCGGTCCATGTCCAGCCCAGTCACAAGCAGAAATGCTGGAGTTGTAGGAAATAATATCCTGAAAGAAAAGGCTGCAGCAAGACGTCCCATCCCCCTATGCGCTATGTGCACTCATGGAATGCTATGTAACATAATGTTCCCAACACCCTGCCATTTTTGGTCAGAATTGCATAATCATTTTGCCCATCGCCTTGGCAAACAAAGAATAGCTACTCAGATCTTGGTTCCATGTTGCACTGCTTACTTCCTCTCAAGTTTCTCTGGTTCAAAACTTGAAAACAATATATGGTTGGGAAACTCTTAGCAGCTTCTTAGCTTCCCATTTAATAGCGAATATGCATACCCCTAGCTCCAAATCGCTCTCTTCATTCACCACTGGATCATAGAAAAAGACTCTGTTGAATGGTTCAAACCATGACTATTCACCTCTGTTCACCCTCACATGGCCAATCTTAGATAATCTGCCAAAAGTAAAACATCTTACCCTCTGGTAAACTAACATAGCTATTGAAAATGGCAATTTATAGTGGAATTTCCCATTAAAAATGGTGATTTTCCATAGCTATGTTAGTTTACCGGAGGGTATTTCAAACGGCAATTCCCTCTGGGAATATACATGAATATACTTGGTGGCTATCCCACGAATCGTAAGTGGGTTCTATCCGAGTTTTTTGAGTGGATGAAGCCTACTTATCCCACTTAGAACTGGGATATAACCGCTTATTAAGTGGGATGAGCCACCAAGTACCAGATACCCAAAACCGAGCCTAAATTCCATGGATCATCGAGATTTCCCTGCAGGAACGTTGGCTTCCACCAAGTCGTCTCCATCCTTACAATATGGCCCCCCTGACTTTAAACTGGTTGATAACTCCAATAGCTATGGTTAATGGTACATAAAGAGTTTAACAATTTAATACAACTTATAGGTAATGTCGATACGATAGTTTTTTCTTTGCAATCATCCGTCATCATCATACAGCAACATATTGTTATGTTATACCATCGCATTGCTATAATATATAACAATGCTTATATCGTATACCAGATGTTAATGGTGGTTTAGTAATTAATACCACGGCGTTTTGTCGGACCCTCGATACGCCCCAGTATCAGGTGCCATGTCGTTTGGCATAGAGTCCAGGAGGCACAAGGCACTCAGCCATTCCTGACCTGAGACGTCGCCAGCCATGGGATAAACATGGATAAACAAAAGCGAACATAGAGATTTAAGCACGTTTTCAAAAAATCAACTTAAAACTATGGAAAAGAACCCAAAAATAATTCAATGATTTATACCTATGACAGGTGATTTTCAATGGCAAACTGTCAAATACCTATAGAGGGTTATATCCCAGTTCAATCATCAAAAAGGGGGTATGTCATCTAACTATTCAGAATGGTGATTTTCCAGTTTGCTATGATGACAACCTATGACTGTGGTTGCGATAAATTCCCTTTCCGTATTGAATTGCCATTTGACATGCCCGTGCTTTTCAAACAGAAAACTGCATCTGCATGGCTCGACGAGCGACCTTTGGCGCAGGCACTGATTGCAGTGTTGTGAATGATCAAGTTGCTCTCCTTGTGTGGTCAATGGAACTAACGGGATTTCATGGGGAGTTACCCTCTGGTTATTTGTTACAGTTTGCCATGGAAGCCATGGCCCATAGAAATAGATGGTTGACCTATTAAAAATGGTGATTTTCCAGTTCGATATGTTAAATAACCAGATGGTAACATCATCAAATAAGGGAAGTATAAAATCTACCATGTTTTCACGATTGAATGGGGATATTCAATGGATCCATGGACTGTTTGTTTTTGACAATCCAATAAGGATGTTTTAAAACCGAAATGTATTGCTGGCTCCGCGGTGATCCACAGCTATGGATCGGTCGGACGGACCCTACATTTTGAGCTACAGATATATGTACCATAAATATCAAAGCGATTCCGGGATTGAAAAGAAGATACCCTCTGGTAAACTAACATAACTATGGAAAATCACTGTTTTAATGGGAAAACTCACTATAAATGGCCATTTTCAATAGCTATGTTAAATTACCAGAGAGTACATAGGAAAAGATGCAAAGCCATCAAACAATATCAAACATGCATCCGGGCATCTGGTACAGTAAAAAAGAAGCAACATGGATCTCTTCATCACATGAAAATAGTTTATACATGTTCAATTCTCAGGCCGGGATCCAGTCCCACAGGGTTTCAGTCATGGCATTTCGCCTTGGAAAACTTGGAACTCCCTCTGAGAATACACCATGGCCCGGAAAGACTACTGACGCTGCAGTGACACAGTGATACATGGGAGTCGCATCAAACTACTATATATGATTATATTATTACATGATATTATATGGGAGTGTGTTTTAAACTCAGGTACCCCTCTTTTCCGTTGGTTTCCCATTGGTTGCCAATGGTTTCCCCATGAAAAAATGGCCCAGAAATTGGATGAAATCTAGAGGTCTGCACTGTGGTAAACCCAAACAGCTTAGGCCTCGCCAAGGTCAACAAGGGCAACTTTTGCTACAAATGCCTGTGCCCAACACCGTTTTTATCAATTTGGGTGGCATATGCGTTTTCTACGGGCCTAGCTGGGCCTAGCTGGGCCTAGCTGGGCCTAGCTTTTCGTCAATTTCAACGGGGATCCATTTAGCCCATCAACTCCCTTCCGCTCAAGGTCCAATCGCACCGATGCCAGTTCTGAAAGCAGTTGCAAGACAACTTGCCACTGCTCTGCGCGTTCACAAACACCTAGTTGGGCGCCGGTGGAAGATATCGCGAACGACAGGAATTCCAATGGCTTGATATTTATGGGAGAAAATCCACTATACTCATTGACTTGTTGTGATTTGATGGGATATACATATTATATAGTGGGCTATAACACCAACTATATTGGTAATGACTATATAACAGTTTGCGGGGATGCATTATTGGAACATACCACTTAACAGTATAGTGGTAGGAGGCAGTGAAATTCACCATGATGATGGTTTAATTTCCACTGTTTCAGATTGGCCACACTGGTTGTGGCAACAGCAGCAATTTTCTTCGTGGCCTCTAGTATAAAACCTTGTGTAAAGTCAAACTGCGGCCTATAACCCACAAAATATGGAACTTGTGCGCAGCACCTCCATTGAGTAAGTAGATGTTAGGATATTTTAGGTATCTAAATTGGCGCCATTGGATGTTGTTTTGGAAACTATCTAGAGCATTCCAGAACCAGCGACTGATTGTTGATGGCCATGTTCAGTCGTAAACGCAATATCCATACAATGTGGCCCCCCCCTAGTTATAAGTTGGTTTATAAACCCATCTAACTATAGTTATAACATGTTATAACTACCACAAACCCTAGTCATTGTAGCTTGTTTTAACCAAGTTAGCTATCTTTGGGGCCCCACTTTGTAATATTTCAGATTCATCAGCTGACGCTGCCATGGATGGGAAAATGGTGAAGACGCTGGAGTCAAGAACTTGGGACTTAGCTGGAAATGCTATCCAGCTCCATAGATATATAATGATGTATACAGCTCATAATCATAAATATGAACATGTATATAATATCTCGCAATACATATATATATATATATGTATATATATATATATTAAAATATTAATATATGTATATATGTATATATGTGTGTAATGCAGAATCCCTTCCTTCATTCATTCATTCTCGCGGTCTTAGATTCCCAGGCTGCTGCTGAGTTGCTCATCACTATGCCATAGCTGATGATATTGCTCTCCAGTTTCCTGCAGAGCTTCGACTCCAAAAACTGGGGATTTATCAAACATTACTGGGATGTAAGTGTTTTGTATATAAGATTACTGGGGATGTAACATTACTGGGATTTAAGTAATGGTGTACTTTGTTTCACTCAAAAATAGGGATGTAAGGGCCAAATGGTGTACTGTTAGAAGTTAGCTGGATGAGCAGTTCAATTGGCACTTGCTTTAAAAAACATGGTGCTTCCAAGATTACTAGAAAGTTTCTCCAAAGGGGGCGCCATTTCACGCAGTATGCCCCTGTCATCCCATCATTGCAGATATTTTTTTTCCGTGGAAGCCGCTAATGTCGTTGAAAAAAATCCATGTCTGCTGGATAAATCCCGGTCTTTGTGGGTGATATCTCAATATATATATATAGATAGATATATATATATATATATAAACCGTTATATATTGGTTTAAGTTTAGACCCCGAGGTTTGCCCAAGAATTCCCAGTCTTTCTAATCCATATATCTAGCGCAATCGAAATAAACATGTCGATACCAAGTCCCAATATTCCTTCATTCAATAGACGGCTCTGGGGAAACATAACAGGAAAATCAAAGCCCATAAGTTATGATAGCAACTATCTGGGTAAATTATAATATTTCACTATCCTGAATAGTGCGGCCATTTGGGGATGATTTCCCTTATAAACCATGATTCCAGGCTTCGGGAGAACAGGGTTCGTGATGAAATTTACCCTATGGTTTCCAACAAACATGTTCCATTAAGTCATCCCAAGCACCGCATCCTCATTTCTCCCAGAGAAATCACAAGTTGATGTTGAAAAAACTCTAACGAAGGAGAAAGGCACAAGTTTTAGCGGGTGAAATCCATATCGTTACCGTTCTGGGTGAAATCGGTGGATTTGTCCACCAGAAATCGACCCAAAATGCCTCTCCTCCGGCGCATGTAGCCCAGAAGCTGCAGTGCCTCCGGCCACCTTTGTGGGCTCCGCTGAAATGCCTGGCGAAGAAATCAATGAATCAACTGTTTTCAGCAGGCAAAATGTTGGTTGTAACATATCTTCACCACAACCAAATTTACCAACAAAATCTGAAAAAATATTCTTTACAACCCAAAAAAACTGAAGATGGATGAAAAATCAATAAGACATGCGGAAAACAAATGGGTGTCGGCCAAGTACATCTTGGATTTAACAAAGTCAAAACCAGAAAATAAGTTGATGACATTTGATTACACCGTCACAAGATGTAATTTCGCCAACGGTGATTCAGCATGACTCAACTATGGAGAAAGTGGTGAACCTCATGGGTGAAACGCTGCTCCATGAGATGTCCCGTTTTAGCCGATCGAAGAATGGCCGGTTTGCGATGTTTGTCCATGTTCATTGTTGAATGTTGAACTAGCTACATCGTGTGATGTATACATATTATAATTATATATATATTATAAAACATATTGTATATATATATAATTATATATATACACATTACATACTGAATTATACATATTATACATGGACATCGGGCCTTGAAGGAGAGGTTGAACGCAGCCACATCGCGGCAATCCACATCCATCGAGCGCGAAGAATGGCCCGGTTTTCCGTGCGGTGGCTGGGGATATGTTTGTGTTGGGGTCTCTAAAATGACCATAGATTTTCATAGATGCTCATAGATTTTCAAAGATAATCATAGATATTCATATGTTCATAGATGTTCATAGATATTCATAGTAAGGGATGTGCAGTTACGGTCCGAAATACCAGTTCTAAGTACTAACGAAACCCCAATCTATTGTATAATCCCATAGAAATAACCAGTCGTAATTCATAAATGGCCATAACTGTAGAAGATGATCATAGAATATCATAGATTGATTACACCAATGAAAATTATATGAATGGTATCCTCTGGTAAACTAACATAACTATGAAAAAATACATTTTTTAGTGGGTAACTATCAATGGCCCTTTTAAATAGCTTTGTTAGTCATTACCAGAGGGTAACTGATGCTAGTCAATGATCTCTTTATCAGGATACAAATCAAGATGATGATCCAACACTGTAGTAGCAACAGTCGATTTTCGGGTCAAGTCGAGGAAGGGCTGAATCCAACAGCGGCCAGGCGGCAACACCTCGGGTCACATCAACTGGAGGCTGTCAATCTGTTAGATCTTCGCTGAAGGCGCGCAACCTCCCTGCCTAGTTCCATCCTGGGATACAAAAAAAAGAGCTGAAACGACTGCGCGACAGACTTTCCGTCCAACATGTCCCAACAGATGTTTTCCAATCGTTGGATGTTTTGATGCCCAATCATCTCCATGTCGTTGATGTTTTCCATTGACATCATTTCCAAGACTTAACAGTTTGCCATTGAAAATGGCCATTTATAGTGAGTTTCCCATGACAAATGGTGATTTTCCATAGTTATGTTAGTTTACCAGAGGGTACTTCTGCATTTGATGATGTCAATGTTGCGACTGACGTTTACTGATGCTCACTAGTGTTCATTCAGTTTCACTGACGTTTATACATTTTATACTTCTGCGACTGGCCCCTCAATCCCAACATGTTTGGGTTCTATATGGGTTCTATCAATCCGCAGCTAGAGGTGCCGCTTAGATAGCCTGTCTTTCCTTGCGGTAGACATTGCTTCCTAGAACATCTAGAAAATTCCGATCTCAAACAGCAAATACTGTATAGATCAGTTGGTCTGTCAACCAGTCAAGCCCTGGTCGGATGAAATTAGATCATGGAACATCCAAAAAAAAACAAAAAAACTTATATCTAATTAGTGTATCTATCCTTTACAGATATCTTTATATACTCTATTCTTGCTAGCCTACCATATCGATTGATGGTTGATCTTTCATGACATACATGATGACCCGCTTTGCCAGGTGCCACACCGCTTCGGTGGTCTTGAGTTCCTCCTAGGATGAAGCCCGAGAACGTCATGGGAAAACTATGAGGATTTCCATATGTAAAAATATGGGGCTGGGTCAAAACCTGCTATTATATTGTGATATTATATGTTAGTATCCTATTTGAGGGAATAAACATCCATGAGCAATTTTAGGATAATGAAGGCGCCAGGATTTTGACTCATAGCCATATATTTAGATTGAACATTGACCCCCGACCAAGTTAGGTTTCGACTCTCGACCTAGAAAAGGTGTGTTTTTAGCGGGGGGAGCCAACATTGAAGCAAGGGTCAAATACGGCGAAATGCTGACAAATTCAGCATTGATGATATTGATATTGATGATGATGGTGATGATGATGATGATGATGGTGATGGTGATGGTGATGATGGTGATGATGGTGATAATTGATAGTTATGATACTGGTGACTGGTGGTGATGATGATGATAATGATGATGGTGGTGGTGATGATGATGATTGGGATGAGGGTGATGATGATGATGATTAGGATGAGGGTGATGAGGGTGATGGTGACAGTTGAGGGGGAACAACAATAAACACGCCCCACATATTTAGTTGATTGACATTTAAAAAAAAATGACTTTCCATAGCTATGTTAGTTTACCAGAAGTGATTTTTCGACTGCGAACTCTGGTGAAACGCCTTGCTTCCCAGGTTTCCCAGGTGTCCCCAGGTGTCCCCAGGTGTCAGGTGTCCTTCTCACCTGGGCAGTGAAGCCAAATGGTGCAAATTCTTTTATTGGCTTAAATGATATAACGATATATACATAATATATGTATATATATATATATACAATGAATATACTATAATGTCATAGGTGCTAGAAAAAAAATATAATGAATAATAATGAATCAATTTCTAGCAATGTACATGTGCATCTAATGTGTATGTATATTGTATCAATTGGATTATACTTGCTGACCCTAAACATTGGTCGCTTGATATCAAAACTCGACAGCCCAAATATCCGATATATCCGATATATCCAAGGTCGGTTCATCTCAGGTTTTGAACATATATATAGATGATGAACATAATGGGCTCCCGGGTTTTTCTGGTTCAAAATCGAGCAACCAATCGCCGGATCTCACGGATGATGCGGGTTGACAAGCCATAAAAACACCATTGACCTTTGCTCCCTCTCTATTTCTCTACGTATGTCTTATGTAATATATAATTATATACAACTATAGTAATATGCTGCAATTGTTTGAAGCGACATGTTTGTTGTTTAAATCCCACCGTTCTTGTTACAATGTTGATTTAAAAAACTCAGTTTTGTTGATGAATTCCCCAAATAAATGGGGTGGTTGGCCAGGGTCGCCTTTCTTGCCCTGCCTTTCTTGCGACTACGTTCAGCTTTTAGCCGTTGCGTTTTCTCCTCGACGGTGCCGCGGAGCATGTGTGGTCACGTGCACTTTCTGATGCAGCCATAGCTGAGCTGGTTTAGAAATCCAATAACTGTGGGGGTTCGGGTTGATATATCACCATCATAATGTAAACGGAAATATGAAATTTGGGATATGCACATATAGATATATATATATATACACATACATACATATGTATATATATATATATATTATTTGTATGTATATATATATATGTGTATACATGTATGTATATATATATATATTTGTATAGATGTATACATATATATATATATATATACATATGTATTCCTGTTGTTAGGGGATATGTATTATATTGGTATAGGCTGGGAAACTCAGCTAGTTCGAACTGGGATCAGCTTCCCAGCGATGAAAAGTCACTGCTGATTGAGCCACCCTGAAGAATATGTTGGTCAGTTTGGAGGTCATCATCCAATCTCATCCAATTCCATCCAATTTCTAGAGCTGAACAAAACGATGATTAAAGCTTCAAAACGATAAATCAAATTGTATATAATATTATATACCTGGGAAATCCACCTATGTAAAATTAACGCTCGAAGTTGAAAGAGCAATAATTATTGATCGCATCGGTTTTTTTCATCCTTTGGAAAAAATATTGCTCGAAGGGTTGTCCACCCAGCACTCCTTTTTCTTTCTCCCCGCGTTGCATTCTATTTGTCCAAATCTTGGTGCTCTGACATGTGTCGGCGCAGCAACACAGCTGCTTTGATCAAATAAAATTCCAAAGATCTCTGGGTGATAACCCGAGTATCAATTTTTCTCCCAAGCCTACACATTCGCCCAATCAAATCTTCATTTTGGGAACAATCCCAAACTGCAGGGGAAAGGATCGCAGTACATCCACTTTGTAGTTGCAAATAAATTTCATACAGCGTGTGCTTTTGAAAATGGCACTTTGGTTTTATGCCAAATAAACACAGCTGATTTGTCATACAAAAATCAGCGAGCCACGTGTAGCCTTGGAGGAAAGCTTGCCCGGTCTCGTAGAGCGTCGAAGCACACTGCCGGTTCAAGAATGTGCCATGGGTGTAAATCGTGTCAAACCATTTTGCTGAAAGCCTGGACGCAGACAGAATCACTGATAGCACATTTTTTTTCTCTCCATCTGTTTCCTCAAGCATAAAGCCAGCTGCAATTGTACCAATCCATTTGCACAAAAGCAACGTATCTGAGCCCTTGGTGTTGCTCCACACGTATGACCCAGCATTTTCATAGTTGAAGAGAGCCAATGAAAAGCTTCGTAGCGCTGGAGTTTGTTGCGTAGTCTTGCACCACAATGAAAACAAGCTGTGGGCATTCACTAAAAGAACACGCATGTCACCAGATCCAAAATACTTCCATTTCATGAATAAGAAGATGCAGCTTGCTGAAAAGTCACGGTACACCCCAAGACGTAGAGTATGAAAACCATCGTTCTTGTAGATCCACTCTGGCCTTTCATCATCAAAAGGAATTTGGTACAGACATGGCAGCTCACTATTAGACCATGGACGCTCCACATGTATGGTCCCAGCCCAGCAGGGAACTGTTGTAAAGTCTTCTGCGGGCAGTCCTTCTTGACCCGCCAAGCACTGATGGCACGAGTTGGCATCCTGAATCCTACCCATGTGTTCAAAGCCCCTGGTAAGGCAAGCTATCTTTGATATCCACTTTAAATCACCTTTCGATCCCACAATGACGACGCGATAGGTCACTCCTCCAACTTGGATTCCCGAATGAAACAATGTTTTAAGTTCACCAGCTAAGAAGGTGATGAGTTCGCAGGTCAATCGCTTGTAGTTGTTCGCCATGGTCCCAGGAAGAAGAAATAATGGGAAATGTTGAAGGAAAGAATGTCCCTTCATGTTGTGGCGCAAGCAGTGAACAAAGGGATGTTGATACCCATCTTCTCCATAAGGTGCATTCCACAAACCAATAGGATGACAGTCATCACAGTTTGATGAGTGGCCCTTGATACCAATCACGCTTTCAATGCTAAAGACTGTTGTTTGTGACCGGCGTTTTCCCCTTCCTTCATCACCATGCAGGGCAATAGGAAGTAGTCTGTCCAAAGGTTCTCCCAAAGAAAAAGCGGCATGTGTAGGGTGGTACTGTGCAAACCCCTTCCACCATGCGAGCAATGACTGTTGAGCTTTGTCTCTATCCGGAGTCCCAAACAGAAGCTGGGTGGTTTTCCAAAAAATAGCTCAGCAAATGCTTCGGGTGCAGGTAGTGAATGTCCAAAATGGAGCCATCATCACATGTGTAGTTGAAGACATTCAGGGGCACCTTCCAAGCAATAGCTGCTCTCTTGACAAGCCTATAGGCATTCCTAGCAACATTAAAATTTCGACTAGTTGGCCGGCCAGTCTCACCAATGTCATGGCGTGCTGCTGTTTGCAGCCGATGGCACAATTGAGCAGGGACCTCAGCAGGCTAGCATTGACAGGATTTTTTTTGAGAAATGTGGGGAAAAGCCACCATCAAATTGAACCAAAAGGATATATGTTCTTCAAATTGTATAATTAAGGACATTTCTTGGGTAGAATGATCACAGAAGTTGGGGATTGATTTTTCAAAACTTGTCTATTTCCTGGGGCCCCAAGCACCATCCGAAATTGCTTCGGCATATGCTTCCACAAAGGGACGCTTCCTGGTATTCTCTGTAGGTGTGGTTCCTGGCATGTGCCGCTGTTTGGGATGATCCATTCTGCATCCGGTAGAGCATGGATAAATTACAACGGATACTGTTCGTACATGTTGTTGGTGCATAACTTGTTTCTCCACATCGCTGAAACACATGCTAAATGGGACACAAGGTGTGGCCCATGGGGATGTCAGATTTCAATGAAACAAAGTGAATTTGCTGCCTGGGCTTCGCTCTTAAAAAAGCAAGTCCTGGTCTTGCAACCGTAACTGGTGCGGTATCAACACACATGTGAACAATAGATTGGTGAAATATTTTGACCCATGCTTTCGCAATCATTTTCACCAATGAGTTAAAATGGTTTTCATCACCCATCACATGCTGTTGACAAATGCCGCATGAGGGACCTGTCTATGTTCACACCATTTCATTTTTTTGGCCTGGTTTTGGCCTTCGCATCTGCCTTCGCCTTGGGCGCGGCCTTGGCTGCGGCCTTCTGCCTTGCAGAACGGGCAGATTCCCGTCTCACTGGCTTCTCAGGTGCTGAAGCCGCTGGCTTTGGCAACACAGGCCTGCAAGCTGGCTGCCCAGATAGTTTGGGCTCAGTGTGGATAGGACCCATGTTGTACACCAACTTGTTTATCCTTTTTTGTCTTGATGTTTGAAACCCATGCCCCACCTCATGCGATACTCCAAGTTCATACTTTCCACAGCCCTCACGGGAGGACCAAATCAAGAGTAACAATCACTAAGATTCAAAATCACATCACACACCAGAGATTGCAAACACACAGGTCTAAGATAAATGTGGAACACTTGGGCCAAAACGTGACCCGGGCTTTCTGGTAAGCAGTTTCCAACTCTTCTTCCATCCTTAGGCGTGGGTATGCTCAAAGCATTACTAGGTTTACACATACTTAATCATACTTGCATCGAATCTGGAAGTACTGCTGCAACTATCAATTCAAGATGAGGGGCAGTTCACTAAACCCATTCACGACACCCTGGGTGTAGATGGAATCGATTGACTGGCCGTGGCTTCTCAGGTCAGCCATCACGGAGATCAGCTTGGACTTCATCCTGTGGTCAGGGAGCTCAGGTATCTGTAGGAACAATTGGTGACACAGAAGCTCAAAGTTTCAAGACCCACCCCTAGAATGGGACGAGTTAAAACAAGTAGCGCATCTTGGAGCTGGGTGAGATTCTGTGCTGCTTCAAAGCGAGCAAGACCTTTCTGCAATTTGGCCTCCCTCTTCGCAAGGCATGTCCTAAGCAAATCTTGGGAAATAGTATCAATGTATTGTGGAGCTATGACATCAAAATGTCCGAAGCAAATCTTGGTAAATACATGTAATTTAATTGTGAAGTTACAATATCATTTTTTGACAAATAATGTGGTTCACATGATATTGTCTCATGAAGGAGAGGTTCATCATTTTCGGTGCGCAGCACGAGGGTAGTTCATCCAGCTTGACCTCAGGCAAGCCTGCCTTTTCCCTCTCCTTCTTTGCTCGGCTCTCAGCAGCGCGGGCTTTGCATTCCGTGCTGCTAACCTCCAAATCGGATGACTCATCAGTAGAACCTGGCCAAGGAGATTGGGACAATGTAGCCAGTTTCTGGGTAAAATGGTTCATGCAAATTCTGTTGTTGAAAATCACCATGAAAAACTAATAGATAGCCCTGGCCTTCGTCAGACTTTGGTTTCTTGACACGATCATTCTTGTTGCCCTTTTTGGAAGGCTTAGCACCATCTGCAGAGGAATCAACTTTGGCCACGAAATCCCGACCCCGTTTGTCTCCAGGGCCACCCAAGCACATTGGCTGATCAAATGCCGCCAAATCCGCCCCTGAACCCTCCTCTTGCCAAGCAAGCTTGCGCTTCATAGAAGAGGTGCTGCGTCGCCTTATACACGCACAAAACACACACAATCCCAAAAGACCCAGTATGGACGTGGATACTGCGAATTATACGTATAAGATTTGGGCTTATAAACACATGGGGGCCTACAGGAGTTCCTTTATGGAAGATGAGCTAATGATAGTACATGCAACTCCTTCTCACTTAGCCATGGTAATTTCCAGAAAATGGGCATGCACTGGTCGGTCATCAAGCCAGGGTCATGGGTCATGTCTAGCTCAATGTTTACATTACCAATCCCCTTCCCCTGTAGGCAAGAAGCTTTTGACTGGCTTTGACAGCTGTCTCTGCCCAGTAGAGGGTCACATCGTCTTGGTAACGATCACGCCTCAAGTGTGCGCAATAAATTTGATCCCAATAAGATACACTGGTTTCATTCTATCATTGCTTGAGTGACTTAAGCAATAACCAATCAAAGCCCTGGTTTCCAGCTATCATTGATAAAACAACTTGGGCAATGACCGAACCAGAGCTCGAGGGTTTTCCAATGCAGCTTTGACCACTGCCTGCACTTTCTGCCTTGGTTGCAGTTTGGCAATCGTAGTTGTAAGATATTATAAATGAATGCTTATAATTAGCCACAGCCACCATCTAAATTTGATAGCTGGTATTTAACCCCAAGATTGGCCAGAATGATGAAACATGGTGGATTAAGTACGCTATGGCCTATGGCAATAACTTCCAATGAATAATGCAACGATTTGGAATGATAGCACCCAGACTTCTAACCCAGATACTCGCTCCAACCCCACACGGTTTTCATCGCGTCCTCGCTCATGTACTCACCTTCAATCGTCAGGTCATTGGCAAGCAGATCTTCCTGGATCAGTTCAACCTCCATGACAAAGACATCCTGCGGGAGGGATTTGGGCAGGCTTGGTATGACCCAGTGTCCAATGATTGAACCTGCTAATCCATTATGGGCTTTTGGGGTCTATGGGATGCAATGGGTCCAACCACAAAACCATGGATGACATAAAACATGTAGATGAAACCCAGAGGATAAATTTTGTACATTTGGATTCACACACCTGTGGTGATCCTAAGCACATTCCATAATGACCTGTTTGAACACATGTTTATTCAATATCATTGGAACTGGGATGGGTTACCAACTTTATTCTCAAAGCGCCTATTCAATAGTTATGAAAACATCAGCATTTACCCCCCTGGTTTTGCATTCATTGAACTTGTGGTGAGACTTCAGGTGTCTATAAAACCAGTAGACTTGGGATTCATTGTTACTATCAACATGGTAATTTTGTGCCAATACCCCCATGTTTCTTTCCCAAATCCCAACACATCCCATCGGTCCACATTGTAACCACAAGATTGAAAGATCTGCTGCAAACGAAGCTTGCCCTTCTTGGTGTGGAATTGTTTTCTGTTCTCATCCCCAACTTTGCAGTTACCCCGGGAATCAATCTTCGTTGCCCGGTGCATGCGTAAGTTGATAGCATTTTGGGAAAGCCTAAGCTCCCCAGGCACTGGTCTGTATAGGTCTTCTGATGAGGCTGTTGTTGCAGGGCTGGACACACCCAAAGCTTGGTTGGAATCTTCACCCAAACTGAATTGAGGGGATAGACTTGGCTTGGCACCACCCCGGCAAGGAGTGGCTACCACTGGCACTGCCGCAGCTGTCTTCACTCCCTCTGCAGGGGTCTCAGCACAGAGTGAGGGCGATGGCACTGGTGCACCAACTTCGGGTGCAGGGATCCCTTCAACATGGTGAGTTGGTGCACGAACTTTGGTTCCAGGGCTCTCTTCAACATGTTGTGTTGTTGGGACAGAGGTCGGTGGAACTTCACCCTTTGGTTGGTGGTCCCCATCAGCATCTTCAAGAGTTGGTGCTATTGAAGGACTAGCTAGCTCTTCACTTTCACCAGTCTTATTTTCTGACTCCCTGGGAGACATTTCCACATGAGGGATAGCTTTGTCAGCTCCGGCATATTCCACAGATTGATCGAGCATATCTTCAAGAGAATCACCACACATTTGGGAATCAACAGGTTTTGCACCATCAACCTGACCAACCCCCAAACATGGACCCTCCAATGACCCTGGGCTTGGAGAGTAGTGTCGCGTAACCAAGCTCCTGGGAGAGTCAGCCTGAGTTGGCAATTGGCTGGAGCGGACCTGACCAAAACATAGTGAGGTATTAGGGGATATGGTTATGACAAATACCTTCCATAGGGTTATGAGCTATGAACCATAGGGATATTACTTGGGAATGATTTGGAAAAGAACATCATGATTACAACCACCCAAAAAGACTTTCAAGTCTGACTTGGTTGAAAATTGGCACCATGCCATACCATACTGAAATTAAATTGCCAATGGGATCCAATGGAAACAATTGCTCGGCTGAGTCTAGGCACATGAACACTAACATCAGAATCGGATGCATCACCTAAATCAACGATGCCAGTCTTCCCAATGTTGGCCAACATATGCTTTGGCCAAAGCTGCCATTTCTGGGTATTCAAAGTCATCTGTTCAAGTTCACGAACACCGGCACATGCAAGGCGATCCTGGTACGATTCGGCATCCTCCTCTTTGGGTTCAACTTTGCATCGGTGGGTGGTCTCAGGGGCTGAGCTAGCAAGATGGGCTGTGTCCTCACTTTTGAGACTGACAAGTTGCCTTTCAGCTCGACTCAACTCCTTGGGCCGCCCAAAATCAATGGAGAGACCTTTTGATTATTATGGAGTAAAGGCCCATGTGGGTTGGCCATTAGGATGTATCCGTGCTCTAACATGTTTGTTTGGGGTTAGAAAGTTTCTTTGGCTAGCTGAATCTGAGCATCTTTTATTGAGGGCCGGAAGTGCCAAAAATAGAATTACAAGATTTACCAGACAAGGATCAGACTGTATTTTTTCTCGTAGCTGATCGTCCTTCTCCAGTTTTACTCTTGAAAGAAGATCTGTTGGCTGCGCTTCTACAGCAGCCACACCCCGATGCAGAGTTGAGGATGACCATGCATTGCTCTTCATCCCTTTCATGACCCCTAAAATGGCTTGAACCAAACCTGTCCCTATTCATGAGCATAGTCTCACCCAAACATGTCCAAATGAAAATAAGTTGTCATTGATCCGATAACTCCATAGATGTTATCCCCAAGTGATGCCAGTGATTTCCAACAATACATGTGAATAAGTGTGGTTCATTATGACTTCATTTGAATCCAACCCAATTCTCTCAGCACATGTCGACATGTGAACTGCACACGATTATACTGCAATGGTGTTGGCTTCGTTGCTACTTGGGTGGTTGTTCTTTTAAGTGTTTAACTATGTATGATTGCTCAGCTGGAATTAGTTTGATTTCAACCAGGATAAGAACAACCATCCCAAGGACACTGGTTTTGTTTTTCAGCTAATTGGCTCGCTCTGGCAGAAAAGCCAGCAGAAGTCGAAGACTGTGCATCCAAGGGCTCAAATACCCAGATGAAATACATTTGGAGGGTACAACATGCATTCAGGATCACCCAAAAATACTACTTTTTTTTTTTCGCCTTTTCGTCGGGGTTTTTCGCCTTTTCGTCGGGGTTTTTCGCCCTCTCAAATTTGGATTTTTTTGCAAAAAGTTCACTAATCTGGTTGCACTGGTGACAATTGGGAATTATTGCAGTAATGACTGCATCAACCCCCCATCCAACAAATCATCCTCTACGAGACTAATCTACATATCTTGGCTCCCTTTCCCGGGCCATCAAGTGGAATTCCTCCCAATCAGAGGGTACCTGGAGCCGTTTCGACCCCAATGCATAGCGCATGCAGGGCTTCAGCTCTGCTTCCTGCCAGGCAGTCCAGTGGGACTCGGAGAGAAGCTGCTGCAAGGTAGGCCGAAGATCAGCCTATCCCAGGGGCTGTGGATGGTTCTCAGAATGGATGGATTTTATTTATCAAACATCATGCTTTTGGAAGACAATCACAAGTGAAAAGGATGGACCATTGACCACAAATACAATTAAATTGATAGAACATGACAGAACCAGAGGAGAACCATTATAGTCAAAAGCCCCCAGACCCAAATGATTCAAAATAATGTCAAGTAGAGGGTGAGGCAATGTGAAGCATTTTGGGTTTGAGAAAATGTTCCACCAATCTTCCCATAAATTGTAACCTCAACTAAGTAGCTTGCCCACCTCCAGAGTGAACTTGCGTTGCTCCAAGCGAATCTCTGGCAAGGTTTCGACTATCTTTTGGGCAAAGCCACCGGGATACATCCTTACTAGAAGCTGGGTGTGAATGACCAAACAAAATGATTTCAAGTAATGGGTGATTCACAGTGATTGCTTACTATGATTATCATTCACTTTGGGATCATTGTCGCCCAGGTTTACCAAAGCACCATACAGCTCCAAATTGGGACCAGTATAAATAGCTGCTATCATGATATTTAGATCTATTGCCTTTAGTAGCACCATTGAAGACTTAAGCTGTGTTGATAATCAAAACTGGACCAATAAGTTGTATTGGTTCTTGTTGCAACGAGATTGGAACCAAAAATCGCAATGTTATTTAAGAAAGCGATGATGAGTTGGGGTTAACAGAAGTGGGCCCCCAAATGATGGTTCCAACACAATGGATTGAAATCAACATGAAACCCTATAATGACAGATGGTTGTCCCAATAGATGTTCCCTTTATCAAAGAATCCAATCCAAGGATCTGAGATTCCTTTAACCTTTTTGTCCCAGCAAATCTCTGTCGACCTGCCCGATCCACATAGCGGCGGCACAGGCTACCACCTTTCCTCATCTTTGCCTTCACCCTGGCAGAGCAACCAGGCCGTTTTTTGGATTTGGGTTTTCGGGATTTGCCATCTGGAGCCACTTGTGCATTGTGTAGCTTGCAGATTGACGCTGAGTTCGTCAATAGCATTGTTGGCTTCTTAGTGGGAGCACCATAATCTTTCATGTTGAAGACCACCCGGTAGGTCTTGGTGGCTATGGTGCATTGGTGCATTAAAAAACATAGAGGAACCGTACAAACATCACACATTAGGGAAAAATGATAATAAGGAAAAGGGTTTCAAATGCCAAAGCCACCCATGATGAAGGTGTAATTTGCTTTTTTATTTGGCTTGGGCATTTCAAACCTTTTCCACATAACTAATTTTGGCTAGGCTCTACAATACCTGCCATTTTCCGGAGAACCCTAAAAGACCAGTATAGCCGAGGATGTAGCAGCATGGCCGAATTGCAGGGCTGTTCAATGATGTAGGTCATATGGAGACATGCCAATAAGACAACCAGCAATGCTGTCCTCTGGGGTACCCATGATAAGAACATTAAAACATCATTTTCGGGGTGTCACATTTCCAGATGGCTTCCCCTCAACAACCAACAGGCGTTACATACCCAGAACTTGGAGAAAAATCCCAAAAAATAGATTGAGAAAAGCAATGGTTGAAATCATGAACTTAATAGGATTGAGGTTTTCCATGCTTACCCACATAAAGCAACAAATCCCTTGTCCTGCTGACCATTTTGTTTCCTTTCCTGATGGCAAGGTAACATGCCTGGCCATATGGAACCAGAACATCCCGCATTGAAGTAGCTCTATTTACAATAGTCCATGTTGAGCACACCATCCCCAGTAAGGTGACCAGCTCTCCCATGTCGCCCTCCAGGATCATTAGGATAGCAAGCCTCGGCAGAAGGTGATAAGTTTGGTATGATTTCTTAAGGGGCTGGCTTTCTACCAAGCTGCATGTTTTTATGGCATACACATCACCTCATAAATTTATAAAAGCAGAGGGATCGCCAAGTAACAAGAAACCAGCCTCACCATTTATATCAAAAGCCGAGCGGTTTGCTCTCCCAGAATGTGGGGATGTGCCAGAGGGTGGTGAATCATAGGAAATATCGAAACCTCGGGCTTCATACCCCAGCACCTGCGCAAGGCGGCTGACCCTGGCCATACCGGAATAGAATTCAAGAAATTCGTATGGCCCCTCTCTTTGCCAGGGCAAGTCCACAAGCCAGCTAGCCATCAAAGTGAGATAGATAAAGTCCTTAGTTTCTTCCACTCAAAGATTGAAAAATAATGAAACATATTGAAACCAATAATGAACCAAAATATTGAGATGTTGATACCATACATATTTGAATCCAATTTAAATATAATATACGACAAGATTCTACCGGCACACCTAGTACCAGCATGCGGCGGCATGCCAGGTTCAAGTCACGGGCACTGGGCTTCATAGCGCCAAAGCGGAGGACTTTTGGGTGGAGCAACAACGGGCTCTGGGAAAGGGCAATGTTGGAATCATTACTAAGAATGTTGCAAATCCCCAATCGCTTCTTTGATGCCAATTTCAATGGTTGGAATGGTTGGATGTTCTTCTTGAAACCTTGTGCAAACAAGCAGGGACCACCTGCCAGCGCACCATGCCTAGCCAGCGAAGCTTGACCCCGGCGTATCGACATCCTGCAGCGAGTAATTGGACCCCTATAGTGAATTTGAATGAATCAGATTGGGTAAACATAGATGAAATTGGAAATGACTCGTGAGTGGTTCGAACCTTTTTTTTAAAATTAATTAGGCACAATTTGTTTCATTCAGATCCCAACGAATTTTCACTGAGCTGTGGTGGTAGTTCCCCAGGGTCGAAATCATATTTATATTATTAGCTACAAAGTCATCAAGTATGTCTTGTAAAGTTGATACCCAGGGCAATGGTCAACAGTCCTCCACCAAAGCGTAAGACTTCAGCCTAGTCATCGAAAGCACCTGGCAGTGGGGCGGGTCGCAAATGGGTCTGCTATTCTTTCCCGATTAATGGTCCCCATTTTTTCACACTTTGGTTAAAAAAATTGAACATTCCAATTCTAAGGGCCCAAAGGTGGCAAGTGTTTGAAAACATGTCGTAACCTGGATTGCTTTTTGTTCGGCCCGACGTGAATCACGATTGCCATACCTTTTCTTGTTCCAGTAGGCTTTCCCACTGGCACAAACTGCAATGCCGTTGGCTAGAAGATTGTTGAAAGCACCGCCATCTAAAGTCGGTGCAAAAACCAGCTACATCATCATTGCAAGCTTTCCCAAACAAAATTCAAAATGCCAAGAGTTTGGATCCATTTCAGGTTACTGCGCACACACCACCCCCTGTACTTTACATGTACATTGGTGCGTGAAGGTTTCCTGACCTAAGGAAACTCCTCTCAGGCATGTCACCCAAGTTTCAAGTCATCAGTCATTGGTCTCTTCAGTCACAGCTTTGAACGCCTTTCCTGAGAAGGTCTTGGTTCTGGTGGTGGGGGGTACCTGTGGAATACCTGAACAACTTCGGGTGGAAACTTGTGTGATTGTTGAAGTCATCTAAAGTTGTTGTGGTTGGCAGCCATAAAAAAAAGTAACTTGTCAAAACGTGAAGTTTCGGATATGCTCTTGTGCAAGAAATGGATCAACTTCGCGTTGGACAACTTTGCAGCAATCCTTGTACGTCTCAATCTTCAAGGTGGTCGCCCGAAATGCTTGCGTGCACTGCTTGAAGAAAGAATCCTCCCAAACTTGAAAGAAATCACAACCATCACAAACAAAACATTGGTAACATAGCAACATGATTCATGTTTTGGTGTCTTTTCCAAATGGTTTTGTAAGCACCACCCCCATTATCCCAACCTTTGTCCTGGAATGAACTTTGTCGAGCAAGCAAATGCCCAATCCTGCTTTGGAAGATGTCCTTCATGGCGTCAAAGCGAAGGCGCATAACCCCGTCAGACGGCGGGTACCGGCCGGCAAACGTCCCTACACCTTTGGCCCTCTTTTTGCACCCAACCTCATCAGGATCGCCACCCTTCTCTGGCTTGTCCTTCTTTGAACGTTTGGCTTCCTTGTCTTTGGACTTGTTCTCCGCCTTTGTCTCTTGCTTCTCCTTTCCAGAGTTGGATTTCTTTGCCTTGCTCTTGGGGCTGGATTTGGCTTTCGCTTTGGCCTTTGTCTTGGCCTGACTTGCCTTGGACTTTGGGCTGGGCTTGGCTTTTGCCTTGCCCTTCGCCTTGGCTTTGCGTTGGCGAGTTGCCCGAAAATCACTGCCAAGCTGGTCCCTTCGTTGCAAGGGCTTCTCGGGCTGCTGCAAGGATAGCAACTTTCTGGCGTCCTCAGAATCACAGGTAGCCATGTCAGAGGCCACATCAGCACCATCATCAGCAGGTTCGGCAAAGGAATCAAGCCTCCGTGTAGGGGCACGAAGCATCTCATCAGTAGATTCACCAGGCTGGTCCACCTGATCATCTCCATTGGTCATCTCTTTGGTCATGGGAGTCTGGAGCACATTTGCTATGGGAGTCGGTTCAATCGTTGGGGTCTTGTCCATATGGTCATCCTCCAAGTCAACCATGGCATTCTTGTCCTGGTCCCCCGCACCTGTAGTGGTAGTGGGAGCCCCCCCCAAATCCATAGGAATCATGCCATTCTTAGGAGCAATCTCCACGTGGTCACCCCCGGCATTCAGAATGGGAGCCCCCACCATGGGACTCACGCCTTCCTCAGGAGCATTCTCCACCGGGGCAGGCAGGTCGCCAGCGGGAAGATGGTCCTCCTGGCAACAAAGATTAAACACCACCACAATTGACAGTTATCTTAACTTCTTATAATAGTCGCTCTGAAAGGTTTGTTATCTATAAATAGTTGACAGCTATTGTAATCCATGATGATCTTTCAGAAAATTTGCTATCTATAATTTCTATTGCAAACCAATAAAGTCTTTCCCAAAGATGGGTTATCTATGAACACATCTTCCCATCATTAGTTGTTTTTACACAGGATATTTTCCAAAAGTGAAGGTTGGAGCCCACTAGCCTTAGTAGGCCCAGAATCTTCATCATCATCAGGGATGTCAACAATTTCATGGATGCTTTCCGCTGCAAACAAAGTGGATCCCTCAATCTGATCAGGATTCATTGGCACGGTCTGCATGTTGTCAGGCGAAGTGTGAGTACCAAAGCCTGGGCTAGACATGGCACACAGGTCTAAATTTTGACATAGAGTGGACTTGATGGACACATCCCGCTGTGATGTTTAGGGTTAACAATTTTATGGAGTTTCAATGATCCAATTTTATGAAGTTCCCACTTTTATGGATCTTTCCCATTGAAGATTATGGAGTTTCCCCATTCAGGATTTATCCCTGGATGCCACTTTTCCTTCAACAGTAGTACGACCAAGAAACTATTTGACCTCGGAGTGTCAAGTGCTTCCATCACCAATCTCAGGGGCATGGGGCATGAGCGCATGGTGGATAACAATACATTTAGGGCAAAAGAATTCATTATTATTGGATATCCTGATTATGGTTCATATCCCAATTAATATCTCCCAAAGGTTGGAGGTGAATATGTTTGTTATAGATTTTACCAAAATGCCCACCTCAACTCAGCGATCTTTGCCGCCAACTCCTGCTTGCGCTGCGCAATGCTGGCAGGATCGAGGTTGCCAACAGCGCTCGGGGTGTGAGATGAGGTAGGGGCCAAAGTTTGGGCAGTTGGCATGCCACCGGACACTGGGGTACCCATGTCGATCCCAGCCTCCTCACCATCAATGGACACACCATCAATGTCATCCAAATCAACCACATCATACATAGAAAAGGGGGTTTCGGATTCCCCAGAATTCGCTGGGGATGCAACATGATCACCAGATCCCGCTGAGGGTGCACCCGGGTCCACATGATCATGAGAGCCCTGTGAGTCAGAGCTGGAACCAGGCCGATGGTCAAATTGGTGGTGCGGAGCATCATGCGGAGGTGGCTGCTCCAAGTTGGCGGCTGGAGGGTGGTCTTCTGGGGAACCCCAATAGCTCTGAAAGACATTCCATAGACCCTGAAGGTTCACATCCTGACTGAATAGTTTGGACAATCGAACAAATCTATCCAAAGACTTAATAATAACAGTTCTTTCCTTGAACCAATTGGTATCATGATTTGGTAGTATGCATGCTATATTCCCCATAGGTAAAAATTTTTGCAGGGCAGTGTACTCTGTGGTTGTGACCCCTAACATTTAATCATAGTCAATTGGTGTTCAAGTACCCGGATGTAAAGATAGCCAAGTAACACGAGGAGCCCGGGCTCCAGCAAGCCAGCGCCTTAAGCCATAACTCAGAAGACGCTTGAGACCCCACGAGTCACTAGCTATGGCCCCATGATCCGTTGGGAAACCCATCAGAGTTCGCCATTCAACCACCTCAGGGGCGAGTTGGCAAACCCCAACACCATTTCCATTAAGTTTTAACCAGGATTACCTTCCGAAACTGAAATTGAATTGGGCCAGGACTACCTTCCAACACTAAAATTGAATTGGGACCAAACAATTTTTGTTGACCAACCTGATCCCGAAGTTTGTCGATGGGAATGGCTTGTGGCATGTCAACCTGCTTGGCCCACCACTCCGCCAAAAGTTCTAGAACCTTTATGTTCAAACTCATAGCTCCAGTGGAAGCAACTCCTATCAACCGAGTGTTTGCCCACTTCGTGAGGCAAGCACTCTCGCAAGATGCAACTCGGATTGATGGCTCCATTTCCCACAAGGCCGCCAGGGAGGGATCCCCAGGCATGTCGCCACGACGAGGCTCAGCCATTTAAGCTAAAGAATTTTTTCAATTTTTTTTTCTTGGGCCAAAATTGCCTGATGCTTTTGCATTTGGAGAAGTTTCCCATGGAATGGTTTAAGCCCCCTGATCCCCCAACCAACAAGCCGGCTGCACCTCCAACTGCTGGGAGGCAATGGGCGCCAAATGGTGCCACGCGTGCTGATTGGGGCAGCGAATCAGCGAATGGCTGGTTCGAGGGAAAATGGAAGACTTGTGTTTTTGGGTAAGGGGAACCTGTCGTTGGAATGCTTATAGGTTTCACATTATTATCATTCTGACATGTCATGACCTGTTATAATGTCTTATTTATACATTATGACATGTTACCTGATGCTACATCTTATCATAATATATCATTGCATCCAATGTGCAATATAAACAGCCAAAATGGCTGCAACCCAAGAATTGCTCGAGAGCAAAATTTATCGCTCTGACCCTGAAAGAACTACCTTCTTTGAAAAGGCATGAATTTAGCATACTTTGGATTACGTAGGTATAATGTACTTATAATGTGGTGTGATGTATAAAACAATGATTTCATCAACTAGACTCAGGTGTTTTTTATTATGTTCTATCCATATCCTCATGGAGACATAGTTCCATCCAATCATCCATTAATGACAGGTCAATTTTTGGCATCCCCGATGGAGACCTCGAATCCATTAAAGATAACCTGGTTGACTGGTTATTGGTCGCTATGGATTGGTTTTCACAGGAAAATCTTAACCGGAAACCCATGGGTTTTTACCATCAAATTTGATGGGGTTTCCGGTTAAAATGTTCCCATCATCCAATTCTATGTTAAGGTGATGGGGGATAATTATGCCTCGCTGTGGAAAGCCTAGCGATCGGTTTTTAGTTCCACTGAGCAAAACCGTCAGTGGAACTAAGGAGGTGTCCTAAGTCATAGGGGTACCCCCAGTCATCATCCATTTTTCAAAGGATTTTCCATCATAAACCATCCATGCTGGGGTACCCCCATGGAAAATCCCATGTATTACAAGCCATAGTAAGATAGAAGGGAAACCTATCAACCAGCTAGATCAACTAGTAACATCTTTCTTGTATTGATGTACCAGCATCATAGATGCCCCATCCCTAGAATGACGGATGATTCGGTAAGAATTGAGCCGGACGTAATGGCAATATGAACAATTTACGCCAAACAAAGGGGCAAACACAACGGATTGAAAAATACTTCAAACAAGACTTGTTGGCGTCAGACTAAAATGCATGGAAAGATGAAAAGGGCCTTTTACCAAGCACACCTTTTTTTAAAGACACAATACGGATTACGAATATGGATTTGGAGTCTCAAAAATCAAAATCATTATCATATCTTTTCATATCTGATCATATATTATCATATTTTCGTTCAAAAGTAGTTGATGTTCGTTCTTGATTACAGTAACAATCTGCAATGTCCATCATTGCTGTTCAATTTGCATGGTTACTTCACCCAGTTCGAAAAAGGATCACACGAGTTGGGTTCCAATCCTCTTACGATCCCTAGGATGCACAACCAAAAAAAATTGCCCACGAAATCTTGTTGGTTGATTAAATAGTATCAATATATGTCCAAAATCCCTCTTACGATCCCTAAGTTTTAATCACCCAATTTTTCACCACTGTTAAAGTTTCTAGCAGTAGTTTTTTGTCGGCGAAATCATGTTTTTCTTCTCGACTACTGTGTGTATCCCATTTGTTTAATACATGTCGACTACTTTTGCTTGATTAAATAGTATTAAATGCCATTTAATGAATGTTGTTTCATTGATAACCATAATTATTGATACTATCCCATTTACAAAATATTTCATACATCCCATTTACTAAATACTATCCCACTTATTGTATTAAATCCAGTAATTAACCATAATTAATTACCCTCCAGTAAATTAACATAGACCCTGGCAGATAGGGGTTGGAAGATTCGTTTCCATTAAAACTAGCCTATTTTCAGGGTCTATGTTAATTTACCAGAGGGTAAATCCCGTGAACATGTTGACGAATGGAATCATGGGACTGAAACAATGACCGGAGTTCCTTTCTCCGACGATGGAAGTCTTCAGCCTGGTGAAGGATTGTTTTGTCGCTTTCTCTTTTTGGAGCTATATGCATACATGCTATTGTATGTATATATATATATGTGTGTGTGTATGTGAATATGTATATGTATGTATGTATGTATGTATGTATGTATGTATGTATGTATGTATGTATGTATCTATGTATGTATGTATGTATGTATGTATGTATGTATGTATATATGTGTATGTGAATATGTGAATATGTATGTATATATATATGTATGTGAATATGTATGAATATGTATGAATATGTGTAAATGTGCATATGTTGTACGAGTACATGTATGTACGTACCTATCTCTATACATATGTGTATATATATATCACATACAAGTTTTTGACTAGCAAGAACTGTGATAGAACTGAGTACAATCATTTAAGTGGATTTCAACAATGGAAATTGGCAGGAAAACCATTGAAACACATGCTTTTGTTAGCAAAACTGGGGAATGAGGAAGAAACACGTGTAAAATTGATACGAGGGAGGTCTAAGAGTCAAACAAACAACATGGGTGAAATTGCTAGCAGGATGAATCTGGTGATAGGTATCATGACTTGCGCCTTCCATGCCTTCCCTGGTAAATTGGTAGGACTCAAACAGTTAACTTAGTTGGGCAACATGAAACAGAAGGTACACGAGAGAAAATCTGAGGTACATACCCATGACACAAATGATAATGCAGGATCATGGAATCCGACAAATATTCAGGGAACTTGAACTATCCAAAAAAAAACTGTAATTGGTATATACTCAAATATGCAAACATATCAAACATAAGAGAAATTTAGAGTAACCAGCCAAGTAGGTTATACATGGTTATACCATTTTAGATCCATTTAGCCTTGGTTATATTCCCATCGGATTTTGTGTTCTGAACAACGTCCCCAAAGTTTGGCTACCCATCTATCGGTAAACTAATATATGGAAGGCGGAGGGACGGGTCAAAGAATGGTGGTTTTACCATCAAACATATGGAAATTACCACGAATTTTAGTGATTTAAGACGATTTCAGCATAATACCTTCTGGTAAACTAACAGTTTGCTATTGAAAATGGCCCAGTCGAAATAGTGGATTTACCCAGCTAGATAGCATGGTGGATCTTTCCAGTTCGTTATGTGAGCCCGTTTACCAGGCCGGGTATCCCCGAAAACGTTCTGCCCACAAACAAAAAAAACGGGCACCTATTTTAATGTGCTTTGACAAACTCATTCTCCAGAGGTTTACCGAAAAATATCACAATCATATCCCATTGGGCCCATTGGGACTCACCATGTTCCATGGTAAAATCCACCATTTATTACTTGGATGTGCTTAAAGTGCCCCTCAAAAAATCAAAAAAAATGCCCAATAGATTCGCCAAATGGTGGACTGATAGTTTTGGTGATAGCATTTTACTGGTTGGTTAGGAAAGCGATTCCCAGTTCAGGGGTGGTGATAATGACAAATAGATTTGGTAATTCAACCCTCCAACACATCATCACCCAACAGGGTGGTGTTTCAACTTTTACCATCATATTGTTTGATTGTCATAAACAGGATGATGGTAAATAATATGATGGTATAAACCTGTTTCAATGTTGCATTATAACCATTTTAAAGCATATTGAAACCTCTATAAATGCAGGTTATAATCCCCAGAGAAAGGTGATGTTCTGCTTTCACCAAAAGCGTCTTTCGCAGCCACTGCTTAATTACTTCTCCCATACGTCTCCCAAATTCGGTGGTTGATATTCCATTACATCACCTTATATATAGATGACTACTAATGTGGTACTAAACTACCCATTTCCAGATTGTTTAGCCCATACTCCACGCAGCTTCTGTTGTGATAACTATATCCCACCATTAAAAAAACACCATTTCTGTCGATTAAATGTTATCTCAATGCTTGCTGGCACCAAAAAACAAAATCCTGCGGAATCACCATTAAATCATGCTTGTATAAATCATGCTGAATTCCTAGTACATAACATGTACCCTCTGGTAAACTAACATAACTATGGAAAATCACCGTTTTTAATGGGAAAACTCACTAGAAATGGCAATTTTCAATAGCTATGTTAAATTACAAGAGGGTATTATTTCGTGGTAAATTCCATATGTTTGATGGTAAAACCACAATTCTTTAAGGTCCCCCGTCCCTCCGCGTCGCCACAGCCAGCGCCTCACATAGATGGCAAAAGCTACAGTTCGCGCCCTTACTGCAACCAGCATCCTTCCTGGCAATGACGCTGTGGCCATGGCACATCAATAGAATTACGAAGTGTCAAAAAAACATTTCTATTTTTATCTACTTCATTTTATCTATGTTTTATCTATTTTTAAGTATTTCTATTTTTATCTACTTCATTTTATCTATTTATTTCTATCTAGGTTTATCTATGTCTATCTTTATCTACTTCATTTTATATATGTTTATCTATCGTTTATCTATTTTTCATCTATCTATTTTCATCTATTTCTATTTTGATCTACTTCAGTTTATCTATTTTATTCTATGTTTATTGATCTATGTTTATCTATCAATTTACTATGTTTATTATCTATTTCTATTTATTTCTTTCTACTTCAGGATGATTCTTTATAATATACACATGTACAATTGTATGTGCAAATATCTGAATGCATGAATGATTTTTGAAAAAAAACATATATATTGAATGTATATGCAAAGCCACCAAAAGGTGTGGCTCCTCCATTATCCGATTCCGTTTACAATACCATACAAATACCCAGATGCAAGGTCTCAGTTGAAGGTGCCAGCCTGATTTTTTTTGTATATGGGGCACTATTGATAACAAACTTAACAAACGTCCAAAAAACAAAGCTAGTGTCAATGTGTTTACAATATGGTTATTTAACATATCCATG